CTCCGTGAAAATTGCCTCACAGTCACAGTCATCAGCGAGAATCACTCTTCGGATGAAAGCTTCAACAACGGTTTTACTTGGTACACCTGCGGGACTCCTACGTTTCACTGTAACAGTAAAGTCATCAAGGAATTCTTAAAAACTGTACCACTGGGTTCGAAGTGTGAGGAGTGTAATAGTAATGAAAAGTTCAACGGCTGCAATGATCCGGAGACCTACCTAGAGATTCTGGAGAATAAGAAAGATTCTGGCGAAGAATAACAAGAACAAAGATTAATTGATTAATTAGCAGGCCATTTTGATAACTGGGAACTGATTTTAGGCATTTATTGATAATCTATCTACATAAGTGTTCATGTTTTTAGTTTATTTCAAAATTGTAATTTAGCTAGTATATTTTAAGCAATCAGCGCATTTTCTCTTGTTATTCTGTTCAAAATTCAGCGAACGATCAAAATATCAACACTCAACAGACACTCATGGACAGTTGGAGGGGGGAGGGAGGGAGGGGGAGCCGGGAGGTGGGAGCAGGCGCTTTTGGGGGCTATCACCTACTGATTCAGCATTGTTATAATTATAAAATATACAAAGTACTAGGCTAGAGTATAAAATACTCACATTTTAAGTGATTTACATTAGGTATTCAGGTCGTGCAATAGAAATAGACAGCCCTTGCGAGAACCCTAATTGTTCATCAACAAACTTCATCAACTACTAAAACATGGTATTACTACTCACATCCCCTCCCCCCCCCCCCCTCAGGACGAGTCAGTCATTTCCAGGGGACCAGACATGATCATCTCTATTATTATCTATTTAACATTAGCGGACCCCCCCCCCCCCCCCCCATATCAGGCGTGTCACACACCCCTCTCACAACTTATTTTAATGTAGTATAAAAAGGGAGGGGGCAGGTCTATGATTAGCCTGCACCTGACTAATGATCCCTTTAAAGCACCTATACAGACCCATTATGGGCTGTCACTCTTTTAGAGGTGTTGTAAATTAGTAGGTAATAGCTGTGTCAGTCCGACAACAGCTCCCTTCTGAGCAGATGTTTTGTCTTGAATTATTAAATGATAATACAAGATTGCGATTCGATGTTAGATATCTAATGGGGGGGGGGGGGGCTCTAATGGGGGGAGGGGCTCTAATATAATGGGGGGGGGGGGGGGAGGGGGAGGTACTCTGAGATTAAACTTAGTCGGATAATACCCGCATCAACAATGATACGGCCCTCATATTACAGTTATAAATGTTATTGCATCCGGCTGCACCTCGAGCAGTGAATCGTGTGACTCCACGCAAAACATGAGCAAAACATGAGCAAAACATGAGCAAAACTGAAAACATGAGTGTTAGTGGTGCACCCTACTAGTGGATATAGACACTGGGTTGGTTCATGAATATTGGGCATGATTAGCATCGGCTAAAGTGAGTACGTAATATGTGAACGACCCCTTTATATACTACTATAAGGGGTCCTTCACATATTATTATTACTTACTCACTTTTTGGAGAAGTTCTACCCCCCCCCCCCCCCCCCCCCCCCCCCCCTTCCGTAGCTATTGTATCAAAATTACACAAGGTAGTGTGTACCATCGCACTCTTTGTAGTGCGCAGTGAGATCCTATTATTCTGTGATGATGACGTCACTTAGGGGTCGTTCACTATAATATTACGTAATCACTGAGGGGGCAGGGGGAGGGGGCATGGGTTCTAAATGATTACTCTAGTGTAATTTTAACCTAAAAGCTATCTGTAAAACTGATTACGGAGGGCCAGGGGGAGGGGGGGGGGAGGTGGGTTTAAAATGTAAGGTGAGAGATCAAAAATGAGTAACGTAATATAATGTGAACTAGTCCTAGTCGTGATACTATGTGAACTAGACCTAGTCGTGATATTATGTGAACTAGACCTAGTCGTGATATTATGTGAACTAGACCTAGTCGTGATATTATGTGAACTAGACCTAGTCGTGATATTATGTGAACTAGACCTAGTCGTGATATTATGTGAACTAGTCCTAGTCGTGATGGTCCTATGCGGAGCGAGGAAGCCTTCACTCGAATATTTTACTCAAACAGTAACTATCAACAACTGCACCATAATTAACAACGTCTGTTCACCTTTAAGTAATCTTAAAATTAGTACCATTGCATAAGATAATGAACATTCCTCTTGATTGGTCACAACAGATGAGGATTATTATCTATTACTATTACACGTGATGCCCTTATAAGGAGCGTCACGTGAGTATTGACGAGGAGGGAGATGTGCTATTAGAGAGGAGTAAACTGTGTTATATTAATTTATTAGAGGGACCCATGTTGCAATTAAGAGACTTTGTAGTTATTTCATGTGGAACGTTATAATTATAGTTCATTGAGCTTATATCAGAGTTACTGTTTAAATAACTATCATGGTATACATTTAAAGGTTTAATAAGGTATATTTGCATGTTTTTGAGTGAGTTACTTCGGTATTTATTGCACGTAATAACCCAGATCTCACTCACTATGAGGTTAGAAAAAGCTATCATTTCAAGTTCTGCCTCACTAATCTCACAGATTCCGGAACTTCTAATTTAAAACAGATATAAGTTGCACTCTAAACGGCGGCACATTGCTCGATGTAACATTAATTTCACCGCACGGGGTGCAACAGACTACAGAGCATTAAACTGTTTTCTCTCTCCCTCATCATTATTTTTAGCACAAAGCTCCCTCCCCACCCTTGATGCAGAGACTGAACTAAGGGCTCCTCATTAACTGCCGCGGATGTTTAATAAGTTGACATCAGTCCATGTGACTGAGTCAAGTCTCTCCAGGTCAGACTCTAACCAGACGTTATATCTTAGTTTCCTGTTGATAGTTAACCCTTGTTAGAAAGTAAGATGAGACTGTGCTTGGTATTCTTGATTGGGATCACCCTATTCGCTGTCGTTTCTTGTGGTAGAAAAAGGCTCAAGCTGGCGAATAAAGGAAAAAAGATGAAAGTGGTAAAAGCTGCACCGGTAAAAGAGATACAGGTGGAGCAGGAAGTAGATGAGAAAGTAGAAGAGAAAGTAGAGAAAGTAGAAGAAGAGGTAGAAGAAGAAGATTTGAGCGCGACCCACTTGACCTGCACGAAAGGATACAAAGCATTAGCTAACATCTACAACGGAGAGAAACTGGAAACATGTAAGACAGGTCTGAATGATAACTGTGTGACCGTGTTTATCAAGGGTGACAGTGATGCTAAGAGCGCTTACCTCTACGGGTGCTACCCCAGCTACGACTGTTCAAAGTTTGAGAGTTACCTCGCTGGATTACCTGGATCTTACTGCAAGACGTGCAATCCTAAATACGACGAGTGCAACAAGGACTTATAAGGAGAGGCTGCACGTGATGCCCTTATAAGGAGCGGCTGGAGTACACGTGATGCCCTTATAAGGAACGACGGTGTGAGTTAGATAGAAGGGACATTCTGCGAGTAAATATTAGTATATTATTAGTATATTGTCACTAAGTGTTCGTTTTTAAAATAGCGTTTGGGCAGCTTTCTTTTTCTAGTGGTTGGTTGTTTAATAGTCGCGTTTCATGGAAAAAATTGATTTTTAATCTTATCTTGTTTTAAAATAATTTGAATATCTAATTGTTTACTGGTTCGATGCGAAACTATTAAAATACGATAAACGTTTAAAAATGCAATATAAAAATAAATAAAAAGCTTACAACGTAAGCTTTTACGACATTATAAATAAGATACTTCAAGATAAAAACCTGCTGGGAGCGGACGAAGCACAGAGTAAACGTTTAAACCCAAAGTTTTAGGGAGGGGTTATTTAACACCCTGTTAGATCATTAGTGGAGATAAAAGTGAGAGATTTACATTATATCTATTAGAATTTAGCTCCCCATCTTCTGATTTGCCAAGAAAGTCGCGTATCTAAACTGCAAGTGTGACGAAAGATGGAGAGTTTGTGTCATCGTCATCATGTACCTACTATCATTAAGTTCCTAACTACTTAGTTCACAGGACCTCTTGGCAATACTCTCACATATTGAGGACAATGGCCTCTAAGTACTCATTTACCCATTACCGTGACAGTACAAACAATACCTCAAACAGTACTACATAATAATAGTACTCTCCCTATACTTGGTATGCTTATTGCTGGTGACCGTAAATAAGTTATAATGTACAGAGCTACAACAATGACCGTAGTATTAGTAGTGCTAGTATAACCACAATGTCTGTAACCCACTGTGTTCTTGTCTGTCTGCTGAGTATAGTTCACGTTGACACTCTACTCCAACTAAAATGCCACTACGAGTACCACGAGAGTACAGGAGCCTCCTCCAAACTCTACGACCTAATCAACCCCGGACTAGGACCCGGATACTGTCTTACTAACCCTGAGCTCGGACAGAAGTGCAGTAAGTGGACCAGTCTAACAACCGGGCAGGAGCTGGAGAGTTGTTACAGTTGTGAGGAGCTGAGGGCTGTGTTGATGCCGGGGGACACGTGCGTGGACTGCATGAGGTTCGACCTGTGTATCAGACACAGCACAGATAATAGGAGCTGGAGGAACTCTTCTAGGGAACTCAGGAACTGACCTTATATGGGCATCACGTGGCCACTGCACACCTTATTTGGGCACCACGTGACAGGAGGAACTGAGAGGAGCCGTGATGTATCAGATATGGACTGTGTGGACTGAACAGAACATGCTATTTTGAATAATGAACTGTAAGAGTTATTGAACCTTACAATCTGAAAAACTTTCAAAACATTATTAGATAATATACTGATAGTTGGATAATATCCGGTTATTATTAGATATGGCACGTAATTACGGAATTGTGATGTTTGACAATTAATATTGATATATTATTATATGCATGATAGATATTGTTTTAATGATGAATCAAAACTTGTAAACTTGTAAACAATGTACTGTCTGGTCTGTCATTTAAATTGAATATTGAATCTGAGTAATATTAAAACACGCAGACGCTTCAAAAATATGTTATAAAATTGTTTCAAAACACAGTTTTAAACCAATGCATTCACAATGCAACATAAGTACGGATGATAACAAATTATTCAGATATTTGTAAATGTGTGTGAGGTTTGAAGGTCCTTCACCTCAAAAAAACGGTTGTTTTATCGCTCGCTTATTTTAATCAACGCTTAGTTAACAATTGTTATTAACCTTTAATTGATAACTCCACATCAGCGACAACATATGGATTAAGCGTAGCATAATATAGAAACACATATAGCAGCTGTATAACTACTTATATAGTGGTAGTAGTAATAATTAAACCCACTTTCACTAGTGGTAATATGTCCCCTTTTATTTGCATACTAAACTTATTTCAAAATCATCCCAAAATATTACAACACCTTGAAAGTTTTATACCATGATAGAACAATAATTTTAAGATCGATAAGATCTGAAACTTTGAAATGGTTAGCCAGTCCTTCTAAAGCATGATAAAAATCCCAGTTGAAGAGTTGCATCGTTTTATTTCATTGTTTAGCCCGTAAAGAATCTTTATGGCCGTGTACTCGACCAATTATAACAGATGTAAAAAATCAAAGATGTATAATCCTTTCTCTCGTATTTTCGTGTACTCGGCGTGATATCCACAACAAATACAGAAATACGGCCATCTTATCTCAATAATCCTTATCTTCTGAATAACTCCTCGCGTATCGAGCAGGGTACATCAAGATAATATGATCCAAGGGATTATGCTCATAAAATGCTCATAATATGCTAGCTCCTCAGATGTTATGGTCTGGATAATCCTTCTTGTGTTGCATGTAGAACTCTTTCAGCGCCTTTAGCTCGTCAATAAGTTTCTTGTTCTGCCCCTCCAGGATCTGTACCCGCTCCTCCAAGCACTTCAAGTACTCCTTCTTCTTAACCCGACAGTGTCGTGCTGCCTCTCTGTTCTTCATGAACCGTATCTCCCGTTTCTTGCTGGCCACATCCGCTAACTGCTGGGGAGTCTGGTGGTTACCACCTGACATTCCTCCCTGAGTCATAACCCCCTGGTTGCTAGGAGGCAGGTGGATATTGTAGTAAGGAGCGGCTCTAACCGCATTCCTGGGTGCTTGGATCACGTTACTCAGCACCTGGGTAGCACTGAGGTTCTGTAGCTCAGCCTGGTTGTTGTTGAAGCTCATGATAGTAGCAAACTGGTCGGAGTTAGCACCCTGGGGGAGGGTGACCACTGTTGGCTGGATGCCAGTATTATTGGTAGAGTTTGTAAGAGTGGAGGCTAACATGGACATCACATCTGTAGTTACGTGGAACATTCCACCCATGTTACTAGCCTGGGGGCCGGCTAGTATCTGCTGCTGATGTGGAGGGTTGGTGTTGTTAATGGTGATGACATCAGGTTGAGAGACCTGAGGGTGTTGTTGTTGGGTCTCCAGGGTAACCACCCGGTTAATCTCCCCATCCTGCTTGTTATCAGCCCCGCTCTCACTGGCTAACTCGTCCAGTATCTTCCTGTAGGAGGGTCTCCTAGACAGCTGCTCTCTGTCCAGGAGACGAGGTGCTCGCTTCTTGTTGTCTGGGTTCTCCTGGGGATCGTAGCTTTGCTGGAGGTGGTTGCTAGGGGTGTTGCTAAGGTGGTTGCTGGAGGGATTAGTGTTGTCCATATGGACATCCTGCTGAATAGTTTGATGTTTTAGTATCGGCCTGATAATGAATATTACTGTGTAATGAAATAGTGGTCAGTTAAACATCACTTCCAGGTACACTGGTAACAGGGGCAAGATAAGAATAGGATCTTGTTTTAAAGGTTCAACTAAATTCATGCACAAGAGTTAAGACTCAAATGTTTTATGATTGACAATCACAGTGAGGATTTCATGTTTCATTACAAAACTTTCAAAATATCATCTTTCAAAATATCAACTTTGATTTAAAAATAAACAAAACTAACAAAACCACCCTTGAAACAGTAACTTTAGGTCACATCATTACTGTACAACTTCCATCACCTAATCTGAGGCCCGGACCCGGCTAATCAACAAAAAGCTCAAGTGTGCAGTGTCCAAGGCACACAAAACCTAAATCGCAAATGCCACTATTGACGGGCATTGCCAGTTACTCCTAATTCAATCAATTGTAAACAAGTTAATAATATTTAAAAAGGTCACCTAAATGTTTGAGTTTTCAGAGAATTCCCATAACTCGGAGTGTACACCATACGAAACACCTTCTCAACTCCGCTGCTACAATTATTTCTATAAAACTGATCAGCTGATATAACCGGTTTGAAAGGGAGAACCATTCTAGAAACCCCTAGAACAGTGTCCTCAGCACACTTCACTGCTAGTAACCCGTCCCAGAACACAAACTGCCCTGTTTTTAACCTGGTTCTGGCTAATTCTATAACATGTGGATCAGTAACAGGCGAGAGAGACATGAGTTTCAATGCTTTAGCTTGCCAACAAACCACCACTGAAATACCATAAAGGTCTAAACACCGTGAAATGTTAAATATCTGATCTGCTGTCTGAACCTGAGGGCACACACGTGACAAACTCTTCATCTGTTGTTTAGATAACCTAGGAGCGGGAGATGACATGTTCTTATCTTGTATTCTAGGTGCGCTGTGAGCGGGGTTCTGTAGAAACTGGCAGGTCACCTCAGCCATATTGTTAGCAGTGTGGTCCCAGAACTCAGTCCCAGACAGGGAGGTTGGAATGTTGAACTGGGTCTGGTGCAGTATCCTACCCGTGTCGAACGAGCGGGGGAGAGCTTCTAGAACAGTCACCCCGTATTTCTTATCTCCGTTTAGGAGAGTGTGCGGTAGAGGGGCAGCTCCCTGAAAATAGTGTAGTTTTGTATATATATAATACTATATTTAATACTTTCAACACTACTATATAACAAGTAATTTATATATTTAGTATAGTACTGTGTTTACTTAACTACTCCCTAGACTAGGTGGCAATGATAGTGAGACAGTGAGGGTCTGGAATATGAAATAGACCGGTTAAACTAGTTGGATATAATAGATATGATAATGACTTGGAGTCTGAAGGGGGACTGGAGTCTGTTCTAATATCTCTGTTAAAATATTGACAGTAATTTTACTTTGCTAAGTTTCATGTTGAGTTCTAGACGCTAAGTTAATAATATAATGATAAGTTAACAATATAAATTGCACAGTGCACCTCAGTGAGCATAGTGTGTATAATCACACCAAACACTAGAACCGTGGTCATTTATGCACTACTGAGCTAGGTTTGTTATGTCGTAATCTCATGAGAAGTTGAAGGTGCACGTGTGTAATATGCCTATCAGCTTGCTAAAAATTACTCGGTGGTATATTATAATGACTGTGGAGTGTGGACGTCTACAATCCACATTAGTTATATATCTGCTCGCATGGCTAGAGATATTATGTTAATGTATTGGCTAGAGATATGTTAATGGGTCGATATATTTATTTATAGAATATAATATTGTTCAACGTATGGATTCAGAATTTGGCAACGTCTTGAACAGGCTGCCCGATTAACATCTGAACCACGCTCATTGATACATATCAAATATCCATTATCCATGATAATACTATGTTTAATATAATATTATCCATAATAATACTATGTTTAATATAATATCATCCATGATAGACTAATCGTTCAAATTGGGGGGGATGCAACGTCAATTAATGTCAATTAATGTCAATTAATGTCAATTAATGTCAATTAATGTCAATGTCAGTTTTGCAAAATTTTGGAATACTGACATTAATTGACACAATATTTTTCGACCAGAGATTATGTAGTTTTACCATATTTTTAGCACTTTAGAACGTTTATATCATCAATTTATTCACTACTATCACATATGGAAATGTGAAATGTGAAAAAAATTCAGATCATTAAACAATAAAACTAAAATAAAACGGTTTTCCGAAATTTAATTTTCTTAAATGGGCGTGGCCATCCAAGGGCGTGGTTCTCAACATCATCAGAACTTAAAACCCACATTAAACGAAATGCCTTCATGACATTTATATTTGAATAACGAATCTTAAACAGCTAACATTACTCCTTCATACTAAAAAAGCCGATTCTAGATATTTTACCTGTATAAGAAACCAATAAAATATGGGCGTGGCCGGTGGGGACCGAAGATGGAAGAGTTGGAAGCTGAATTTTTTTTTGGTGGTCTTTAAACCTAAGGATCAACAGATAAGAACATACTCATAATTATTCAAGGACATTTTGTTTTTTGAACCGGTCTAACTTACATAGACGTGAATATCTTGAATATTTATCGAATAATGATAATCTCAAATTTCAAGACAACTTAATGTCAATTAATGTCAATTAATGTCAATTAATATCAATTAATGTCAATGTCAGTTTGGGGTTTTTATGGAATACTGACATTAATTGACGTTGCATCCCCCCTTCAAATTACACCACAGATCTCGAAGGCGGAGTGTGAGGTTTTAACATTATACTTGACGTGTTCAGTAAGGAGCATCACGGCTCTCGACAGACCAGGTGTAAAAGACCAATGAGTGCCGAAACGACGATTCTTTCGTTTAGATTTCACCAGTTATTCGCCTTTTTTCACTTTGTCTGTCGAGCACCGTTCTCCACTAAACACTAAAACAAATTATACCAGCATTATTACATAATATGCAACTAAGTGGCATGGTATAATTTATAGAATATGTTCAAATAAGCTCCAAGATTAATATTATCTAGCTCGTTGACATTCCTAATTAAGTGGCTGTATTCATTAATTATCATTCTAACAATGTATCAGATCCCTTAAAACTCACCTGATATTTGGGTATGAGAGAGGGATGGATGTTAACAAAACCCAGAGAGGTGCTTCTAATAACTTTACTAGGTATCATGTGTCCAAACGAAGCTACGACCCCAAGATGCTCAGAGAACGCAGCTGAAGATTTCCCGAACGGTAGAACTGATTTCCTGAACGTTTCAACAGGGAGACCATGTTTCTGGCAGTACTGGTAAACAGGTGATTTAGTGTGTTTGGTGACTGCACTGACGGTGTACCCGTGCTGGTGGACTTTAGAGAGCACAGCTGTAGAGAGGGTGTCTGTGCCGTAGAACAAGATGTTCTTGAAAGGTTGTTTCATATTCTACTACCCTACAGTTCCCTGTTGCAGAATCGGGTAGTGCTCTTTTTTGCGACCAGAGCTCAATTTGAAAAGTGGGTGTCTTTGCAATGGAATCTCTGTTAGCTACAGCGATTTCAATTGATAAGCTTCACTCCTACAATAAATTCTGTTATAGCCAATTTGACAAAATCCTTCAATTGAAAGCAAACAGTTACATAATAATACAATATAATGAAGAAACAAATTCCCTAATTCCCTCTCTGCAATAGTATAGTGCAATTAATACACATTTAACTGCTGTAATAATAATTGTATATAATAAAACTAAAACCTGCATTTAAGAGAAGACACGTCTTAAAACTTTAAAAATTCAATAAATAAAAGTTAAAACTAGCAATTTTGCACAATATAATATTATCTTCCAACGGAACAGTAGTTTCTTAAAATTCCCCGTCCTCAGCCGCCGTGTAAGGTAGATATAAACATGATATTATCTTTATTCTCAATCACATACTCCAACTCCCCTGATAACTCCCAATCAGCATCGTTAACAAGTACTAAAATACCCGGTCTCACTGTTTTACCCTGCATAAACAGTTCACTTCGTTCCTGAGACATATCATGATATTACAATTACTGGTGGTGGGTGTTAAAGATATCATTATATTGGAACTTATAAAATGACTAAATACAAGTCAATGGATCATTTAAACGATTTAACAGTTGTCATATTGGGGGAGCATTATATTATATCATTTAACTTATTTCAAATATTCACATATTTTGCGCATAAACTCATAAACAATCATAAAACAGCTCCAAATATGGAGTGCTATCTTTTACACTGACCTGCAGCAGGTTATCTCTGATCCAGGGTATCAGGGTACCCATGGTCCAGGCTTTCTCCTCTTCTGGTAATGTTATCTCGTGTTTACGCTTGTTTCCGAACAACAGTTCCGCTCCTCCCGCCAACTCTATCGTTATGTTCATCACGCGACTGTTACTTAGCAACTTGGTAGTTTCTCTTTCACTTTCTGTTAGTTAAATAACTAATCCAGTTTATCTTCACCTTTTCTTTAGTTTTTATCACGTTCTCTGATGTATCATAATATCATGACCCTAAAGTTATTGAATATTACCGTTAGAAATAGAGAAATAAATCATTATCCGGGATATTACCATCTTTATTTTCGCAGCACAATTCAAATTAATGCAACCGAAGAAATATTAGGTCACGAAGACACTTGTACTGTATATATAATGTATGTCCAAATATGATACTTAGATAGATCACTACGTTATTATTGCAATAAGTGTTACATAAGATAAGATGGCAGACACAAGTGAAACACACAGACGTCTTGTTAATAAATTAATCTTAACTAATACCTTGTGAAAGTAGCATAATTAGTAGTAAGTAAAGCGTGCAGATATTCCCGGCAAATAGTGGTGCAAGCAACACTAGTTTTATAGTTTGATAATTTAAGTGACCATTTGACAGAACGACGGAAACATTAAAATTATTTCCATACTATATATAAACTATATTTAAACACATTTTCACAAGGTACAGTCATCCCAGTTTAAAAAGTTCAACATTGTACAAAATGTTGGTAAAGCTGCACCAATTTAGCCATGCTGTTGTGATTTCTGCAGTGGTTTATTAATTTACCAAATAAATTAATAAATAAATCACGACGGTAGTTATTAGTTAAAATAAGAGAGCAAAGTTAACGGTCCTCGGTTCGAGCTACTTGATTAGCATAATGAAATAAATCATTGCAGTTTTAAATTAAATCCTCGTACTATCTATTCGCACAGTTACTAATAGTGGGGTGTAGTGGATAAAACAAATGATAAAACCCACACTTTTTCTTAGCTCGGACAGAAACCATTAAAGTAAACGTCAAAAAATTAAAAAATATACTAAAAAAGATCATAATCGGCGAGTAAAACTCTGAAGCAATAAAAACTTTAAAACACTCTTCCTCCACAAATAACCACCCATTGAGCTGCTCTTGAATTAAATCTAATCCTAATTGAGTTTCTAATTAAGCAGGTTTCAGGAACTTCCTTCTCTCCTTGTTTGTCTCCACAAGTTCCTCCTCGTCGGAAGAGTCCTCTCCTAGTCCAGGAGCTCTCTTCTTATTGTTGGATACCAGACTGTTGTACCTATGATAGGTGAGTTAGTAAAGTAGTCATGATGGTGGAACATATTGAGAGAGTGAAACTCCAGTTAGGAAGGGGATTAGGACCCCTCCAAACCAACATTATACACTTTCTGTTATACCAGCAGGCAACAGTAAAGCTAATGTCAGTAATCTTAGAATTGCTTAAGTTACTTCCATCGATTATGACAGCTACAAATTTTATGCTATATTTGCACATACACTCTATATAAGTTACAGTTTATTAATAGTAATACTGTCACTGTTTTATGTCACTTAACGTTACAGTTTACCTGGAGCTCATTTCAGAAGCTGTCACTCCATCCATCTCTTCAACCTCCTCCTCTGATTTGTCATCTGAATTTTTCAGGCGACTGCAATAGATTTAATTAAGAAGTGAACTTTAATACCTGGAGCGATAAGGTCTAAGGTATATGCAGGAATGCGTAACAGTAGCTTGTTGTGGCATTTGCTAGCGACAAAAACCTACTTAAATACTGTATGATAGTGAAAAACTCACTTCTTCTCAGCAAGTAGTTTCTCGATGTAAGGGTTAAACTGTTTTGAAGTGATTCTCCCAATCTCACAGAGATCCTCTAGTTTCATGTAACTCTCTGAAATATAATCTTTAAACAAACTGTACCCTCAACTTGATCGTATCAAACCACTATTGCCACTTCATCACTGTCAATGTATGTATATTGTATACATTATAGTTGATTCTGGTGTCTCAGAATATTTCTGTTATTTAAATCAATAACAAAATCTCACCGTCAATAATGATATTTCTCTCGGGAACCCCTCCGGAGTCTACAATCCACTGTGTGTCCCTGTTACTGCTGGCTGCGTTCAACTCATCGTCCCCGTTGGACCGTGACATAAACTTCATCTGCAGTATACTCTTGCTGAGGTTCCGCTTATCCGGGTTGTGGCCTGCTTTTCCTGTCATCTTCAAGCTATTGTATTGGGTGAGTTAGTTGTGATGTTGTTTTAGATTCTTTGTGTGTTTAATCGGTAAGAAAATAAGAATAATTTTAGTTTCAATCAAACATGTGTTTGGTAATCAAGATTCATGACTCATTACAGAAGTCCTGATTTGATAAGTCAATAAAATACTATTTTCAAGGCAATCGGATATCATTGAACATTCTAGATATAGATATAGATGTGAAGAAAGATGTAAAACAAGCGTAAGGGGAAGGGGGAAAAGCTTACATTCGTGTTATTTCTACACAATAGCTGTATGTAAAGAGGAAGGATCTTAAAAGGCCAAAATGGCTTACAAAATATATGAACAAACCCTAAGCTAAGGTAACAATATGAGGATTAAAATATAGCCTCATTAGAAAATTAGCGATAATATATATAATCACATAAAACAGTCAATATTTATTTACATCATAAAAGTTTATACATGTACACACGTTTTTAATAGATTTTATTCAATAATCAATAAGGTCAATGGAAATTATGGAGCTTTAAATAGAATAAATAGATTTCAATACTCAAGGAGAGATAATGAAACATGTCAGTTGAAATGTAAACTGTACTTTTAATAGGTAAATAGACTTGTAATTAATAAACTATCAGTTATTTTAATTTTTGCTTGTCACAGTCTAATCATCAGCTATATAACTCAACACTAATCTGCAGCTGATAACACGAACATTTTTTAGAAAGAGTTGGAAATTTCTGACTTTGAAGCAGGCAGTAACTTAATAACCGTGATAATAAGAAAAAGCTATTCTTAGTGGTTTCCATAGTGTCAGCAGAATAACAGGTAAATCATTATTATAAGGACGTTGGTATGTTACCATGACAATAGTACTGTTACCATGACAACACTACTGGAGGATGCAGGAGAGAGTTAAATCACCAGAGCGGGTTCTTCTGGAACATCCCTTTCCAGTGAGAGCTGGTTGTTTTATCCATCTTTTGAAGCAGGAATGATACCTGTTAAATAACGCAACTTAAGTAGAGTATTACTATTACTACTACTATTATTACTACTACTACAACTATATGTAAAGTAACTTAGTAGAGTAGTCCTACATACAGTTACTATAATTATAACTGATGCTTTTATATATTTTAGTAGTTTATTGTTTTTACAACCTACATGGTGTACAAAAATAGCGCAAGTTATGAGTGATAAATCAATAGAATTATGAGTTATTTCTATTTAACTACAAGTCATACCTGACCACTGATCTGAACTAGATCATCATTGATCTTTTCTCTTCTTCGTTCTGGCAGTTCCACGATTGCCTTCTCCAACAAAGCAACTCTATCAGATATACCGCGAACTCTGTCCTGAAATTAAAAGTAGTCAACCTTCTGTGTTACAGCAGTGTGGTGAAACTTGATTCAGTTAAATTAAATGCTCATGCAAACATTTGCAATATTTATTTGTATGTCACTATAAGGTCTAATTTCTAGTGGCTTCGGAATCACTTGTTTTATGTTAATTGATATCGAATGGACTTTATTATACTCTTTTTTTTCGTTTTGTACCTCGATCGAGTAAGTTGCATCATTGTTGACAGATCTGGAAGTCAAGGGAACAGTGGCGTGGGGCTGTACAGCCTCAAGGGTGAATGGTTCCTCTCGGCTACTGGCTTCAAATGATTGGTAAGACAACGGCACGACTGAGCCTCTTTTGTTGCGCAGTTTTAGGATGAGTCGGAAATCTGTTATGTCACACTTGAGCATGAAGATCTTACGGATATCGTCTGAGGTTTGATCCTCATAAATGACAACAGATGTTAGTTCTTCTGAGCCATTGATAAGTTTCAGCTTTACAAACACCTGCTTCTTGTTCCTAAGAAACTGATTTGATGGCATCTTCCCTAAATTGTATTAAAAAGTTATAAAACAACAGTAGAGTAAAACTACAAATTTATGTTAATATTTTATTTCAGTAGACCGTTACAACCAGAATCTTATGTTGAAACAAATTGTATTTGTTGAAAGGGGGGGTCGGGGTCGGAACAGTGGCATAACGAAGGGCCCCGCTGACCCCGCTATGCGGGGGGCGACGTCTTAGGGGGGCGCCAAATCGCCGTTTGAATGTGGGACAATTTCGAAAACTTAACTAAAGTACTAGCAAAACTGCGCGTTTTGCCCTAATTTGTTCAATTTTAGGGAGGGGCGCCAACAGGGGGGGGGGCGCCAACAGGCAACGTTACGCCACTGGGTCGGAAAAGACTGAATTAGAAGGTATGTTACGATTATTTAATCTAAAGAACAGAGAAAATGTTGCAAACAATGAAGTTCATTATAACTTTTAGTTCTTCCATAGAATGCCTTGGATATTGCGCCAATAAACAAAATTTGCACAAGGTGCTTGGTATAGGGTAAAATGTCGATAATATATTCAGTTATGAAGGCTGTTATTGTTATATTTCGATATCGATAGGCTCCTTTGTTAGGCTAAATACGCAATCCGACTGCTTACACAGAGCCACCAAGCTGTTATCAAAATGTGAAGTATATCATCTTGAAGGAACATTGGTAGCAATGAAACATTTTGTAGCAATGGACCGTTTTGTAGCAATAGACCATTTCTGTTACTCGTGTATAATTGTGCCCTGCCAATTAGAATTAGAATCAAATTTACACAGCAATACAATAAGAATAAAAATAATTTAAGAAGCTTCAATCTGCTGTGCAGGACATTCAAGTCAGTCGAAAACTGTTAGCAGAACACCCTTCTAGGGACATAAGGATATAGTATGTAAAACATAATGAGTAATAAATTAATGAGTGAAAAAATAAGATATGATTTAACAGTGAACTGTGGGCATGAAGGTAACAATTAAGATTACATAGATGCCCACTTTGGGATTACGTTAGTAATGTTATTTACAGTTATAAACAGAGAAGTATAGAACAATAATAGATTGGCAATGATAACAATTGCATCACTTGATTTGATTTAATGTATATATTGTTTAAATGACCTTTCTGCACATTTCAAGAAAGTTCAGAACATTAAGAAATTATTTTAAAATCTAATAATTTCTCTATTGTATATAGTGTCTGTACAAGTTTCAATTACCAAATCCAAAATAAAATGAAGCACAATATTTGGAAATTTCAAGAAATTAAAACAATCGAGACTACAACCAGTTCTTTTAATGCAGCGCTCGATTTTTCCAGTACGATATGGATCGGTTAAAATATGGAAAAGGCGCGCGGCTCGAGCTCACCATTGACAATATTTGCGGCTTGCTTATTACTGGCCGCACTCAGCCTGTCATTCCGCCTAATCTCTATTCGTTTATGAACATGATAGCCTGAGGTCCCCAGGTAACTCGCTTAAAATTGTACTTTGGTGGGGCATAATTGATAATTTACAAACTGTGGAGGGACTGAAATTTGATTTAAACAATTTATGTTACGCTAGCACAGTGAACGACTTGGCAGAAAAAACCAAATAAAATATTGTCATATATTGTATGACCCGCCGCACATGAGTGCGCAGCTCCCCCTGTATCGCAGAAACAGTTTCTGCGATACAGGGGAAATGCACACTCGTGTGCGGCGGGCCATACAACGTATGACAAATAAAATCGATGTCCACATTTGTAATATGAATGTGCTGCTCCCCAGCTGTATCGTAAGAACGATAGTGAAACGACCGTGGGGACCACGACGTGATACAAGTCCACACTATATGTATTTTGCATTACTTTGAACAATGAACGCTTAGCAAAAATATAACACTTATATATCTGAAAAATTGTTTTAATTGAAAAGGGTCCATAAGCATAGCATATATTTTTGCTCTATCCAGAGCCCTTTTGCTTGCAGTATCACATTGATTTGCGATGTTGACGTTGACCATTGTTAATGGTCTGGCCCGGCACGCGCTACTTCGTAGCACGTGCCATCGGGCCATTTCGAGAAGAAATTTAGACGAGTAACATCCGTCCGCGTCAATTCACGATGTCAATCTTTTGCATTTTGCTGCTCTGCATAAGTGGTTGTGAGAAGCATTATTGCAATTGGATGCGCGCGCGGCAACCTATTGCAGTACGCGTAGACACATGGCTATGCAAAGCATAAATCATTTATTAGGCTATTTTTTGCTGATAGTAGAGCCTTTGTGCTGAGATAATCGTTTTTCTTGTATCACGTCGTGACCCCCATTGTCGTTTGACTATAAAGTATACCCCTGTAGAGTTTCAACGATACAGGGGGAGCCGCGCGCACACACTTGCGCTGCGGGTCATACAACGTATGACAACGTTTTTCTTGGAGGACAATTTGCCGCTTAGACGCGCCTCGCAAATTATCATTTTTATTTTGCATCGACGAGATCGTTTTTGTTTTAATTCGCAGATCAACGATCTGGAAGGGTTGACATTTGATTCACGATGTCAATCCTTCGCATCTCGCCGATTTACTGGGCCGCGCTCAGCCTTTCATTCCGCCAAATCTATATTCTAATGAACATAATAGCCTGGGGTCCTCAGGTAACTCGCCGATCTGCATACGTGGTTGCGAGAAGCATTATTGGATGCGCGCGCGCGACCCAGTAGTGCATCGCGCTACAAGGTTGACATCGTCAATCAAATGGTTAAGCAAATTATTTGTCGAGTTCAGTTAGCTAGGGATTGGGTTACTGGGTTAGGGTTAGGACTGGGATCAGATTAGAGGGTTAAAGTTTCGAATTGTCATTCAGAGCCACCTAGAGGAAGTGTTATAAAAAAGTCATGTGACTGTCGAGTGTAGAGTGCAGAGTGATTAATCATCATCCATTATTTGATACACAGCTCAATTTAATAGTGCAGTGCATTGCGTTATTGTATCAAATCGCACTACAATCGTGTCGATAAATAAGATTTTATATTAAGTCTAGCGTGCCGCGCACCATGATGTGCTTAAAATCGAGCGCTACTTTTACATTTTTATTAAGTTTATCGTAGAGGCTCTTACGGGCAAATATCACGCTTCTTTGCTCGAGCCCTGGGACTTCTTTTAGGGTTCTTATATGATAGAATGGAGTGTACTGAACACTCTGACGGTATCGGGAACCTTCTAGAGCCTTCAGAAGCTGTGTTGTGAGCACTTTACTGCCAAAACTTCGGACATCTACAGACACCGGAATATCGACTAAAAATTTTTTCTGAGTTGTTCCCCTAATTTCTCTTAGGTTGCTTAAGCCCTAGAAAGTGTCAGATCGTCTAAATATTGCTCCATTCCGGTGTTAGAGACCGGTACCGGGAATTCCGGTCGATTACTGGTTAATTCATGATCATAATTTATTACTCAAAGCCCTAGAAAGTGTCAGATCGTCTAAATATTGCTCCATTCCGGTGTTAGAGACCTCGAAAATTTCGACCTCGTAGAACGTGTTGCGCGTCGTATGTAGTGTTTACAATGGAAAAAGTGCACTTAAATCTAATTCGGTTGCGGCGCGTGACGTATCTAGCACGATATTTGCTCGAAAGCGCGTCACTGCGCCAGAAACCTCGTGGTACCGTAACACTTAGTCAGGGACGAAACGGAATCTCGTTAGCTTTTCGTGTTAAAAGCGATTTCTCAACGGTTATCACCTCTCTAGATGATTCTTAAAACATTTGGACTTCATTGCATTTTTGAAATAAATGCAATGAGGGCGTTTTCGGCCACACCCCTTTTCAGGGTTTCGCGGTCACTCGAATTTTTGTATTTCAGCCCAGGAAGGTTTTAAAGACTATTCCGATACACCAAAATGTGCCTAATAGCCACATTTATATACAACTTATGAAGCAACATTTACCTTAAAATGCTTCGTTTCGGAAATATGGCCGAAAAACGGTTTTTGGCTTGACGCAGTTCATAATTTCCATGATTTTTGGCATTTTCGCCTAGGAAGGTCGTAGAGACTATTTTGATATACTAAAATGTACATAATGGCCACATTTATATACAACTTATGAAGCAACATATACCCTAAAAGGCTTACTTTTGGAAATGTGGCTGAAAAACGAATTTTTGCCGAGCGAACAATGACAGTATTCACAAATGGGCTATTGGACTGTTAACTAAAAAGGTCTTAAAGAAGACTCATGAGGAACATAGCATTTGTCATAAGATGTAAGATGACTCACTTTGTGTCCAGAAACACTCACAAAAATTGTAGAATAATCTACTTTATTGGGCATCTCTCTTAATGGGCCAGGACAGCAGCATATTTGTGTCTTACGAAAGGGCAATTTTTCAAAATTACGGTTACTTTAGTAATGGTCAAAGTAAAGGTCAAAGGGTCAGTTGCTAACAGAAAATTGTTTGCAATTGCCGACTCATGCACATCATATACTCAAAAACGTTCACTTTAGGAGTGATTAGTAAATAAGTTTAACTATACTGCATGATTTGTGAAAACTCCAACAATTTTTCATTGGCACCAATTTAGCCAAAATGTAATGACCAAAATTCAACTTTTAATTTATTCATTCCATAAAACCATATTGTTGCTTGACCGCTGACCAGTACCCCACTTTATAATTATAATTGACTTCACTGCCTCGACCAATATTGGTCTGTAATCGCTAGATTGAGATCTGTTTAATTTAGCTCATTAACCATTTAAATAGTAATACCGCAATGGTTTGGTTCGCATAGATTTTCCCATCGTATGATAATGTGTGTCATTCAAGTGGTTACTAGCTAGCTCTTTTGTTATTACAGCTGCCTCGAGATCTTATCTAGGGCACTAATGCATTAGTACTAGAACACTAGAACTGTAATTCTAGAACTTCAGATTAAGATTACTTGACTGAATGGCAGGGTTCGAGATTCGACTCTAAAACTCTCAGTTTAGGAGTGATTAGTAGATGCATGATGTGCGAAAACTCCAACTAGACAAGGATCATGCTTAATCAAAGTGTTCCTCGACTTGAACTTAAGTCTCGTAAGTCCAAACTGGAGTTTGGGCCACTGAATCGAATACAACCTGATATTAATTTTAGGATTTCGGGAAATTCATTCAGATTTTTATTCTTTGGTTTTTCAATTGTGCTACGAATCCGAGTTTGAGTTGATAACACCGAATTTCCTGTTTGACTCTCAAAGAGAGGAACCAAGGCGTAGGTTCCTCTTTTTGGCTCTGAGATCCAACTTTAACATCGGACTTCGGAGATCATTGCGTCGGAGATCATGTAAGTGTAACATCAGTACCGGAGATCATACTTTTTTGCTTGATATTGGACCTATAAATCTAATGATATATTCGAAACAGTACGGGATTTAACCAAGGTTAATTTAGATAAGATATACCAGCTTTCGGGGTCACAAGACCCCACGAAAGGCAGGCAGAGCATCCTAAATCCTCATGCTATCCTCACGTTGACCATCTAGGTCCATACCCAAGCCTCTCATTAAAAAACAGCTACTAGGCCCGATATCCGTCCCTTGTCCCGTAGTACTAGTGCCCCGTAAGTAAGAGATCGTTCAGATTTTGGTCATTTAGACCCCCTCCCCGCTCTAAAATCCACTTTACCCAAAGCTGGAGAAATTTCACATGTGAAACCTAAATAGCTAAATCAGCATCTCGAGACCTTCTATTATATAAACCCCGTGATTCTACTATAATCTTATAACTTATAAGGCATTGCATGCCGAAATTAAGATCCACCTCAACTGGTGATATGAACCTGGTATGTTACCTGAATGCCCTCAGTCAAATCTCGAACCCTGCTAATGCTATTCTGCCAAGTAACCTTAATATGAGGTTCTAGAATTACAGTTCTAATGTTCTTAGTTAGTGCCCATGCCCCAGATAAGATCTCGAGGCAGCTGTAATAACAGAAGAACTAGCCAGTCACCACTTGATTAAAAAACGACGGAATGACACGCATTATCATACAATGGGAAAATCTATGCGACAAAAAAAAGAATATGGGGTCATTCTGAAGTGAGAACCAAACCACTGCGGTATTATAGGAAATTAACTAAATTAAACTGCGGCCAACAGATCTCAATCCAGGGATTACAGATCAATATTGGTCGAGGCACTTAAAGTGGGGTACTGGTCAGCTGTCAAGCAACAATCTGGCCCGGATCCAGTGCCGATTTATTTTAGGTGCGGTATTCTTGGTACATATATCATGGTTTCATGGCATGAATATAAATAAAAAGTTTGAAGTTGAATTTTGGTCAACACATTTTATTTAAATTGGTGCCAAGGAAAAATTGTTGGGGTTGTCACAAATCATAAAATCATGTAGTAGTTATGACTCCTAAAGTGAGCGTTTTTGAGTATATGATGTACATGAGTCGGCAATTGCGAACAATTTGTTGTTAGCAACCGATCCTTTGACCTTAAGAAACCGTAATTTTGAAAAATTGCCCTTTCGTAAAACACAAATATGCTGCTGTCCTGGCCCATTAAGAGAGATGCCCAATAAAGTAGATTATTCTACAATTTTTGTGAGTGTTTCTGGACACAAAGTGAGTCATCTTACATCTTGTGACAAATGCTATGTTCCTCATGAGTCTTCTTTAAGACCTTTTTAGTTAACAGTCCAATAGCCCATTTGTGAATACTGTCATTGTTCGCTCGGCAAAAATTCGTTTTTCAGCCACATGTCCAAAAGTAAGCCTTTTAGGGTATATGACATATGTTGCTTCATAAGTTGTATATAAATGTGGCCATTATGTACATTTTAGTATATCAAAATAGTCTCTACGACCTTCCTAGGCGAAAATGCCAAAAATCATGGAAATTATGAACTGCGTCAAGCCAAAAACCGTTTTTCGGCCATATTTCCGAAACGAAGCATTTTAAGGTAAATGTTGCTTCATAAGTTGTATATAAATGTGGCTATTAGGCACATTTTGGTGTATCGGAATAGTCTTTAAAACCTTCCTGGGCTGAAATACAAAAATTCGAGTGACCGCGAAACCCTGAAAAGGGGTGTGGCCGAAAACGCCCTCATTGCATTTATTTCAAAAATGCAATGAAGTCCAAATGTTTTAAGAATTATCTAGAGAGGTGATAACCGTTGAGAAATCGCTTTTAACACGAAAAGCTAACGAGATAGCCTTTTAGAACAGTTGGGATCCGACTACACTGTAGAAATAGATAATCACAAGAGACATAATAAACGTATCATCACTATGCAAAGTTAATGTTAAAATGATACAATAGCCCTGCTTTAACAGATTAATCCACATAAACACTATATTTCTACAGTCCGATCAGTAAATCGAACATGTTTTTGAAGATAAATCTTCTGATAGAATTCGTTTCTACATTGAAAGATTTCTTTTCTAATCTCCTTTAAGAGTGCTGTCTTTGTTAAAGTGTTATCATCTCTATCCGCATCTATTGTTGCGGCTAAATTAGATACGATCCTGCTGTCGAAACAAACTCGTCTTACCGACATTGTCTTTCTGAAAACTGATGTGATCAGATTAAACATTGCTGGAGTTTGCAGCGTTCTCAGATAAATTAGACGTCACATAGTCATTGTACTTAAGCTTCAGGTCAGACACGAGGTACAGTTCTGGTAAAACATTCTCCTGCTCCAGTTAAAAGGCCCGTATCAATACCTGCACTCATTAATGCAGCATTGGTGTTGTCGTGCGTGGACACGTGTCTTTCCATTTTAAAACCTGCCTTAGAGACAGGTTTTAAACTTACAGCTTCAGATAATTTACCCTTCAATTGTTTCACCCTCGAGTTGCTGTACCTCAAACGACATGTTTTGTGATATCTACCTAGCTTGCTATAGAGATATTTTCCGAGACTCTCAGGGTTAAGAACAGGGCACTTGTTCATGTGCGAATCAGGATTAACATCGATGTTGCACAGATCCTGACGATTTCTGTAGATGTCCACAGATAGTATGTTGCGAAATCGACGAAGAAACTATTATCTTTTCTTTGAATCAGACTATCCTTTTTCGTTTCTAACGTCTAGGGAAATTCGTATTGTTAAAGAAGAATAACCTCTCATACTCTTAAAATTAAATCGAGATAATATGTATAATAATTATATTTGCGAGCAAAAGTTTCACACAAACCTGTTCAACCTGGCATATGAAACACAAGTCTCAGTCCATTTCAAACAAATCAACATCTGGTCCACTTGATTTGGAACTAAATGAAGAAAGTCTCCACATTTTCTTAGTTCTATTCGAGGAGGGTGACAGAGGCGGGACTTTTTCCACTTGGATGGCAATAGCTTCTTCAATCTTCATCACAAGAGGATTCGTCAATTTCAGAAACAGCACTGTACACCTGCAAATATATTATTACTTCCCACATTTATATCAACAGTATCATATCACATAAGTTTGAGATCGTACAAGTGTTATATCATTTTAAAAGTTTGCAAATCCGATAGAAATGGATTAAAAATTACTACTGATCGCTGTCTATTTACCTTTGAATAATAATGTTTTTCAGGAGGTGACCGGGACATGATTTCAGGCCTGACCGGGACCGGGATACAAAATGTGACTTGACCGGGACCGGGACCGGGACTGGGATAGCTCAAAATTGAGATTATCAATTTACCGGGACCGGGACCGGGATGAAAAATGTGACTTGACCGGGACCGGGATAGCTCAAAATTGCCAATCCCGGTACCGGGATTCCCGGTACCGGGAATTCCGGTCGATTACTGGTTAATTCATGATCATAATTTATTACTCAAACTTGTTAAGCAATTTTAAACATTGTTGTATTCGGCTCAGAGGATGTTTAAAGATGAAATTCACAATGAATGAAAGGAAAAACTTAAAATCACAGTGAATGAAATTATGTAAAAGATCCCGGTCAAAATCCCGGCAAATTTGAGTGATTGACCGAGACCAGGACCGGGACCAAGAATCCCGAATTAACCGGGACCGGGACTGGGACCGGGATCATAAATAAATAAATCAGCATTTGACCGGGACCGGGATAGCTCAAAATTGCCAATCCCGGTACCGGGAATCCCGGTCACCTCCTGATGTTTTTAAATGTTAGTAAAACAGGAGGAAACCACTCAACCTGTTATAGTTGTCTTTTACATAGTTAAGACACTGAATACACAAAAAAAGAGGTTTGCTTTGGTGAGCACAACCCAGGATTGATCTTCTGCAGCAGGGCGAGGAATTCTCTAGACTGTTTTGTAATTCGTTCACTTTCAGAGCGGAAGAAAACTGTGTCATTAAAATCTTTTATTTCTATTCGGGTACAGATACAGCACTCTGAAAATTGATGAATGGTCACATTTTTGTATACCCTACGGCAAAGTCTTATGTATGTGGTAAAAGAATGATATTCTTTAAATATATAATAACATCTATAAACAAAAGAGCACCTAAAGAGGCTCAGCAAAGTGCTGGCCTATTTACGCTTACGAAGACTCATTCGTTCAATATGTCTCAAAGTAAATGAACTCCTCCATCCTACTCTATCTCTTGCTAAGTTCACTAAGTTGGTAAAATCATCTTCATTTTTCAAATAAATTTGTCTCTTAAATAGGTCCTTTTTCACAATAATATCATACAAATTAGTCCTGTGTATACCCACTCGTCCCTTTAGTGTTTGACATCCTAGTGAAGCAAATAACAGAGACTGGTAGGCAGGCGTGTCGTTGTCACTGCGTAGAACATGACCTAGCATTGTCCACCGTGCCTTTTCCACTCTCTCGGAAAGGGGCCTGGTCTGGGTACGAGCGTAGAGGGCCTTGTTAGATGATGAGCTAGGCCAATAGATGTGTAGGATGCGCTTGAGGTGCTTCCTCTGAACAACATCTACAGACTCTAGAACATGCTGAGGTACGGCCCAGCAGCAGCAGTTGTACAGGAGTACTGATACTACTAGTGAGTCGTAGAGTTTGATCTTTCTCTTCTCAGTTATCTGACTCCTCTCTGATCCCTGGCACCACAGCTTGTCAAATTACCAGAAGGCGGTGTTAGCTTTATTCATTCTATTAGTAACATCCTGCTCTGATCGAAGCTTAGTACCAAGAAGCGTCTCGTTTCTCCACTCCTCTTTTCCTCTTAGTTCATTATCCCACTCGTCACATGCACCAACTTCTTCTAAATACACTCTGGTAAACTTTGTCTTTGTGTCATTGACAAAGAGACTCCATTCACTGAGAATATTCTTGGAGATCTGAAAGATATCCTGTAACTCCTCCATATCTTCACCAATCTCCTCTACATCGTCTGAATAGCCGGACTCAAGAGGCATGTGGTTATCAGCTATCGGAGGGTTGGGGGTTGAGGAGAGGACTGCTCTTATGTGCACTACAGCTCCAGCTAGATTGAGGGTAAACAATTTACCAGCTGTGCTGTCTCCTTGGGAGGCTCCTATGTTGAAAGAGAACATCTCTGAGTCAGTAGAACACACTCTGACTACTAGAGTGGTGTTAGCCATGAGGTATTGTACAAGCCTCAGGTCGTCTCTGGAGCATCCTGCAGCTTCTAGTAGTCTGATTGTTGTACCTCTGCGGATGGTATTGAAGGCAGCTGACATGTCAATACTCACTTTGTTCCATTCAAACTCCTTCTTCATTACTACAGATATGAGCATGCTCTGTGCCCAAACTAGGTCGGCACAGCTCCTGCCAGCTTTGTAGGCAGCTTGGAACGGTCCGGTGAAGTTTTTTATTAAAGCCTAAACTTAACTTCTACCAATTCAAAATTGTTTACGTCGGTCTCCCCTCCTTGAGCCACTTTTCGCATAGCTATTGAGTATAAATCACTCTAGCACAAGCGATTTCAAACCCCCTCCCCTAGGCTGGATTAGGTTATTATATGTGAACTGTGCTCTAGTGCATGACTGACTTTACATAATGCAGAGCATGCAAAGTTTTGATGTTTCATAAACTTATGAATAAAGTTTTAAAATCGTGACATAAAAAGCAGTGGTCGCCCGGTGCCCCCTGGCCAAAATCACAACCCCCAGCCAAAAATTGGCAATTCTCCGGGGGTAAACCCTGGCCCCGGCCAATTCTCAGTGGTCAGCCCCGGCCCCGGCTATATTGGGGCTCCCCGGCCCCGGTCAGAATCCTGCCCCCGGTCGACCACTGATAAAGGGGGGGGTGCCACTGTCCATTTTATCCCTGCACAAAAAAAACTGAAAAAAGACAAAGACAAAAGGGACAAAATGGACAAGAGGGACAAAATGGACAAAAAAAGATAATAGGGACAAAAAAGACAAAAAAGACAAAAAATGCGGGGACAAAATGGACAAAATGGACAAAAAGGACAGAGACAAACGAGTTGACGAATGTTACTCGTCTAAATTTCTTGTCATACGTTGTATGACCCGCCGCGCACGAAGTGCGCGGCTCCCCCTGTATCGTCAGAACGATAAAGTGTAACGACCGTGGGGGTCGCAACGTGATACAATAAATTTCTTCGAAGTAGCGCGCGCCGATTTCTTCTCGAAACGGCAAGTGCTACGGAGTAGCGCGCGCCGGGCCAGACCATTAACAATGGTCAACAAACGAGACAAATTGACATAACAGGGACAAAATGGACAGTAAAGAGAAGTCGCTGATTTCCGATAGGGTACAGGGTGTCGATTCTTTTTGCTTCTTGTGTCTGAGGAAGCGTTCCTTCTTGTTCCACAGTTGTTTACATTTAGCTTCTTTTGTCGTACTCAAAAAGTTTCGCGGTTGCGAATGCCGGCCCATCGAGGAAAATCTTTCTACTTGGTTTTTTAACCATTATAAAGTATGATTAGTCGGATATAGTACTGAGTTCAAACAGTTCCCGAAACGAAAAAGCAAACGTTTGATTTTTGTTTCGGCGACTAAATCGTCGATGGGCCGGCAAATATTTGTTGTCGAATAGTGTTGAATACTCATATTAACATGATTATTGATTTAATTTAGGAACTGTATATAAATATGTTTGACCAAGTTTAATTGTTAATGAGAATGCACCCCAGCACTGGGCGCGCGCGGCAGCTTTGATGTTAGCGGCTACAAGCTATTGTAGTCATTGGAAGTCAGTGGATTCTTTCTACCTAATTTTACCTCATCCCATTAAGGAACGCGCGCTGGGTAAAAAGAAATCTAGCCAGAGTGGAAGTCGGCGCCCACATTAAATTTTTGGAGAAAATCGCTCGCCAAAATTTTTTGGACCAGGACGATGTCCTAGCCTGGCAGCTCATTGCGCGGCGCGTCGGAACGAGCTTCGTTGTTCGTCGACGTGCGACGAGCAACGAGAAAAATTGCGTGGCGCGTCGGGTGGCACATCTTAATGGGTGATACGCGTATAAATTTCGATCGCTGACAGCGAGCAGCACAGCTGCGAGTGGTGTCAGCTAGTAGGATTTCATCCTACAATGTACAAGGCACATTGCGTTCACCTAGCTAACCAAGTGCTTTCGCGCCGCTGCGGGCGCGCTTGTTCCACAAGTCATTTCCGCCTCCGTCGGTCGCGCGCTACTACAAGCGAGAGGGATATAGTTAAAGCAACACATCGCGCCACAAGCCAAATATTTATCAACATCTTGACTAGCTACGCGATCCTTTTCCGCATGCGCTCGCGCTTTGCTCAAGTTGCGCTTTGCTCAAGTTGCGCTCGCGTTAACTGCGTTAACGACCGAAATTTTCCCAATATGCAATAATTATTTTGCTTCTAAAATTCTCTGATAATTAATAATATATCGTAACATGTAATTGTAAGATAAAAAACCTCGCGCGCGCGGCGCTTACATCTGCACCTGAGAATCTCTGAGCAATGTGTGGCTGTCTGCGCGGCGGGCTGTGTATTGAGTATATAGCTGAATTTAGATTTATATTTATTTATAAATGTATAATAATATTAAATATGTATTGGTTGTTTTGTGGTAAATAAAAATTTTGTTTTACTAAATTTTGTTTTACTCTACATTTGAGCTTGTTTAATTTTTTGTCTCATTTGTCCAAAATTTTTGTCCCTTTTGTCCCTTTTGTCCCTACATTGTCCATTTTGTCCAGAAAACACTGTCCTTCACAAAAAAATGTAAAAAAAGACAAAGACAAAATGGACAAAATGGACAGTAATACCCCCCCGATAAAAAGTTAACTCACTGAATTTGTCCAAAAGCGAGAGAAAGTACTGAGAAAGCACTTATACGTCACCACCAGAGGGCCTAGAGAGGTTATCTTTGTCTGAACATGATAGATATAACGTCCAAATTCTAAAGTTCCACCAAAATTGAGTCACATTAAACTTGGTTACGGTAACACAACAATTTTAGTTCTTCATTATGGTAGGTGATTTGACATAATAAATGAAGTGTAGACTAAATTATTATTTATGATAATTACCTGTCGGAGGGATTTAAGTGTTCCTTTGAACAGTCCTTTTCTGGAAGGTTGAGAGCTTTCCATACATCCAGAGAGCCAAATTGGATTTGTCCTTCTTTCGGGCATATGCAATCTTTGATATGATGCCTTGTACATTTTGAAATCCTGCAGTTATCATTATTCAATACTTATAGAGCCTTAGATAAGGGGTTAGGGGTCGTTCACATAATATTGTGTAATTGCAATATAGTAAGGTTACTGTACATTTCCAACCCTTTGTCATGTATATCACAACAGATGATGTTAAAAGCATAATAATATTATGAATCTACAGTTTTACAGTTTTTTTTACGTGTTGATAATCTAGCTCATATCTCTATCTTATCGCTACATTACAACTGCCATTTTGCTGGTACTGTGTTTTTACTTTATACAAGTACAAGTAATCGATGGAGGAAATGGATACTCTTCAAAGATTGTCAGTTTATTCTACCTAGCTACATTACTGAAGAGTATGAGGTCTATAACGGTTGGATCACTGAACTCGCGGAAGCTACGAACTGTGACAATAAATCTGAGTTTTCAGTTGAAACGTTCAAAAAGCCAGTGAAGTCAGTTTCAGTAAAACATTTATAATTTGTATTCTGCGTATCAGACTACCGATAATCATGTAAGTACGTTTCTGGATAACAAGAAAGATATGGAGGAGTTGAAGAGCGATCTTATCCGATCGCAAAGTACTGTTATCAAGCTGCAGGCTGAATTTCTGGAAACTAAATCGAAGCAGTTGGAATCCATGCACTCCACCGTCAAGACCGCCGTTCAAGACACTGTCCAAGCTGAGATGAAGTCATACAGTCAAGCTGTGACTAAAAATGCACCTGTGCTTGCAGAAGAGAATTTAAAAAAGGTTGTACAGGATGGTGTATCGGAAGAGGATCGCAGTAGGAATGTGCTCATCTTTGGTTTGAAGGAGACTGATGAAGAGGAACTGTGCAATAAAGTTACCGTGATTTTTCAGCAGATTGAAGAAAAACCACGTTTTGAAGCTATCTGGGTTGGGAGAAAATCAGCCAACAAGACTAGACCAGTCAAAGTTTCGCTAGATAATTCTAACTTACCGTTCATCAGATATTAGTAAATGCCAAAAAGCTGAGACTGTGTGAAGATCATAAGACTGTTTTCATCTCTCCAGATCGATCACCTGAAGATCGAGTTATCCATCAGCAGTTGGTCTTGGAAATAAAACAGATAGCCAAAGCAGGCATGGCTCCACCGTGTAGGTTCGGGTGGGTGCGCACCCACCCAAAGGGTGTTGCACCCACCCAAACGATTTGAAAATGTTCACACAAAAATTGTCAAATTTTGTATTTAAAACTAAGGGTCAATTGACTTCTGTAATCAATTGAGACTGTTTTGGAGATATTAAAATATGTTTAGGAGAGTAAAATTCCAAAATTTTCCAGGGGGCTTCCCCCCCCCCCCCCCCCCACCCAAAGATTTTGAGCTGGAGCCATGCCGGAGCCAAAGAAGACACAAAAAAACATTATTATATCAGAAGTGGTAATATTTGTAGTGAGGACAAGATGTTAGAGAGTGATACATAATAATGAGTGATATACGTCCATAAGTTTTTAATTTTGATTGTTGATATAAGCGTGATAAAAATAATTTATTTCATTTGTATTGGACGGGACATACACAAAGATGCTACGTATGGTGCTGGGTATCTCATGGAAGGACAAGGTCAGCAATATAACTTTGTATGGTAGTCTACCAAGGCTGTCAAACAAGTTACGAAGCAGGAGACTAAAAATGGCGGGACACTGCATCAGACATCCTGAGCTACTTGCCAGTGATTTAGTCTTATGGAAACCTATGCATTGTAGAGCACAGCAAGGCCGACCAAGACAAAGCTACTTGTCTATGTTACTGAAGGAAATTGGGACAAACTCAAAAGAGGAACTGTGAACTCTGATGCGGGACAGGGATATATGGAGGGGGTTATCTGGCGTAGATCGGACTTAGTTCCGACAAAGTAGTAGTTTTTCATTTCATTTCATTAATAACCTGCATAGTTGAAAAGTTGATTGATGTAGTTTCGATAAACAGGCGTCGTTCAACTCCACTCATTTCGTTTCAAGCTGGAATGTAGTATTGTTTAGTGTAGGTTTGTTCATGTACCTCTCATCATCAAAAGGTTTCAACTTATACAGCATCGATAACATCATCTAACAAAGCTTTTTGAACAGCTTAAGATTCAGTTAAAATTACATTATTCAGATACATTTTGTGAAATGAAACATTGTCAGCCTGTATTTAATTAATTATAATAATTATGGTAACTTAGCTAAAAATCAAACCATTTGAGTTTTCATTGTTATCAAAATAATGTCGATCTAAATTCGTCTTAATCTGCATGGCTGTGAGCGGATCGAAGTCTTTTAACAAACCACACAAGCTTCTTTCATCAAGAAGATTCTTGAAGTGATTCGCATGTACACAGAGTCTTAGCTGTCTTAGCTAGTTCTGGGTCCATAAACATGTCACCTTCTTTCTAATGGTGATTGTCAAGTTTGTTCAGCAACATAATTCAGAATTGCAGAAATTATTTGAATCTACTACAGATGAAATGGCTTAAATAACAAGCAATAGATGTAACTAAACAATACATATTGTAGTTTGACTACTTCTTTGAAACAATCAAAGAATGGGGGAGCTAAGGGAATGATTGCTCAAAACGAATGATATCTTCATGAATTCAATGCAGCATCTATACATTTATTCGAAATTAGTGATGGAGGAGGGGGTTTAAGTCAGGCATTCCTGACATTTACTCTACTACTATTTATAAATTAAAAATCATGTTAAGAAGATAGCAGCAACTAATCTATATTATTTATTTAATTGTTGTTTTCTTGAAATTGTTGTTTTCTTTTTACAGTGCTCTATTTTATGTGTACTGAAGAGTGCCTTTACAATATTCCACTTTGTGGTGTAGATTTCCTCCATATCCAACAGGCAACACTGATTGAGTGATGGATGAGGGGGTTTAAGTCAGGTGTTCCTGACATGTATTCAAAATTGCATTGAGAAGATAACAGTAACTAATCTATATTATTTACAGTGCTCTATTTATGTACTGAAGGGTACCTTTACAATACTTCAGTTTGTGGTAGGGTTCCTCCACATCCAACAGGTAACACGGAATGAGTGATGGATGAGGGGGTTTAAGTCAGGCATTCCTGTCAAAAGATCTATAATTAATCTTGTAAGGGTACCATACAGTAGACATTTTATTGTTGATTGTGAACCAAAAGTTAATTCATACCCACAATCGATAAATTATAAATCCAAATAGTCATATAAGCAATGCAATACTAAATTGGTGAAATTGTATTGACAAAAGGTAATCAGCCAAGTGTAGTAAAGGTACCTCAACAATATAACATTGAAGTATTAGAAATGGCACTCTACTATTATAAAACACTTTACTGTGCTGTTTTAAACAATATTATATGAAATTAAGGCATGAACTTCAGAAAAGGACAAAACACTACCGGTACAAAAACTTAAATGAGTTTCAGGGAAGGGTTACTAAAATTTTACGGTAGCGCTCGATTTTATTCAAAAAATTTCAAAGTGCTCAGCACCACGAAAAATATAATTTTTTCTTCCGCTTTCAAAACTTGTTTTTACGCTGAAAAACTATCAAATAGTATTATTGGACAGTATTAAAACACTTTGTGAGCAAAAATATTTCATTGTGGGTGTGTAAAGAGCCGAAAAAATTTAGCGCGCGAAAAAACATTTTTTTTGGGAGGTTTTTTAAAATTTTGACCAGGTAAACTCTTGTGTATGCCTATTATATTGGTATTAACTAGTGCGGCAAATAAAAATGTACAAGAACCCAAAATATCTAAGCTTTTCGATTCAATTAACCTGTCGAAATTTCTAAAAAACCTCAAAAAATGGCCATTTTTGGGGCCAAAAATCGATTTTTTCAAAATAAAACCAGGTAACCCCCATTTTAAACACTTCTAACCACTTTTAATCGATTCTACGGTCAAAAATACGTCTTTTAAGATGGGTCTGGTGATTTTAGTGTATCTAGCAGACAAAGCCCGTAAGAGCCTCTACTATGGGATCCAGTAAAATGAAAATTTAGCAAAGTTTTCAAAAAAAAGGGGAGTCCTCATTCGGCACTATCGGCGAATGAAGTCATGCCGGTAATCAACTTGCATGGTTTTCTTGTAATATAAGGTGCTAACTGATGCCTTCTTAGAATACTTATCAACCTTGTACTCTATGTATCAATGAAAAATAAATTATTTTCAGTCAGGTCATATGTAAAACATTATAAACGCACTCTGAAGAGTTTTGTGCTAGATGACAGTACTGAGATTGCTCGCATCGTGTGAAATGGCTGCCTTGCTGTACGTTTTAGTGATCTCTGATTGTACGGAGTAAAAGCTCCTCTGTAAAATCTTTATTTAAAGGACCAGTTAACTGAAAAATTTGTAGTCTCCAATTTGGCTAAGATTTAAATCAGCTGTGACAAACTGGTAAAGAATCGTATCGCCGAAAGAACCAACTCTCTAGCGTACGTGTAACGCGTGTTATTGCAATAATAAGCTGTGGCCTCGTGACGTCACGAAGTCCCTCAGTGCGCGCTGGCATAGCGTAATACGTTGCAAATGTTTATCGTTGTCATTAAAACACGTGTAACTCACTCAAATTTTAGAATTATGACTATTACCCTAGTTCTCCAAAATCCTTATAGTTTTGGCTATCATCCTAACTAAAGGAATAGCTGATTAGATGTACAGTGCTCACGTCATGATTTTAAACAGTGATATAGGTTCTTGAACAGTGGCGGGTGAATGTACGGTTAGTAAGTTTCTGATATTACAACTTATGTCATGTGATAATTTTGGATTGTTTTCATTGCTTAATTACACAAGCAGGGAGACTGTACCGATTATTTTTCCCCAGTCCATGAAACTCTAACGAATTTAGAAAGGATCTAGATAAGTAGGAGTTTGTTCAATTCCGAGAGCAATTATATTTATAGCATAGCGAAATTTCTAACTTTAAATCGTATGTGTCAGCCAGTACAGGAGACAAGAAGTCTGGCTACTTTACGGCCGTTCCTCTGGGACCATTAGTAGAAGTAGCTTCTATCAGAACAGTGCCGTGGGAACAGAATTCCCGCCAAAATACCCGGTCTACCAAATAGTAATAGTGATGGGAGTGTACGATGTGCGATGTGTTTTGAATTAGACTTACGGCTTACCTAGTTGTTATCCTAATTGCCTTATCATCGGTACATAACATAAATAAACTACTGGTAAGTTTAAATACCAAGTGCAAACGTGTTCAGTCAATCGACCTACTGAACAACTATAGAATTTCCAAGACCCTATTATTCTTTGGCCACATATTACGGCACGATCGATTGTTAGATGGTTAAACGACCAACGTTAATCTATACAATTCTAAAACTATGAGCTAGCACTTTAATCTAAAAATACACTTTTTATATTACTCCTGATTTTTACATTTCACGTAAAACATTGTCGCCACAGGTTTATCATGGACACTAACAGCTTAATTTGAGATAAATGACTTATGAGTTTCTCTAAAGTTAACTCTAAAGTTGTGTAGTCCAGTCATTTATGGACATTTATGGAAATGAACCTGCAAATGTTCAGATACTCACGAAACTTTGCACAGACCTTCCCGAAGGTATGAATAAACGATTTTCGTTTGGAGACATTTTTTTGACAGTGGAGAAAACCCAGGAGGGCCACGCCCATATTGACCCAATAACGTAATCGACCCCTTGTTTCTGAAGGTCGTAGAGACTTCAAAATAGGCTTAAACGAAGCCGCATATGCATGTTTATATAGGAGTTATTGAGCAACACATGGCCTAAAATCCTTACTTTTCGAGAAATTCGCCAAAAACCATTTTGGGCGTGGTGCTGAGCCCATTTTTCGATAGGATCGTGATAGAGTCTTTAGACAGGGTGCAAAAGAACCGGAATTAGCATATTAATATATGACTTACGAACAAACATATGCCTTAAAGTGCTTACTTTTTCAGTTATTGGCGAAAAACTGATTTTCGGTTCCAGAAATCATGCAAAACTATGGGTATCTGGTAAATTGGGCTATGAAGGCCCTAAAGGTTTTTGAATGTGTGCAAATTGTGCAGAATAGCCATGTTTATATACAACTTATGAAGCAACATGTACCCTAAATTACTTACTTTTCGAGTTATTCTGGGAAAAACATTGTATTATGTCCATTTTCTACCTGTAAAATACAGTCTCACGAGCTCTTCTGCGCGCGCAAGGGACTTCGTGACGTCATCGCCAAAATAATACAAACGCTATTTACACGCGTTAGAGAGCAGTTAGAGATTTAGGAATTTCGACTCGTTGCTTAGTTTGCTATTTGTCACAATCTGTCAAAATATGAGGATAACTTTTTTTTCAGTTAACTGGTCCTTTAACCGAACCGTTATCATCGTCTTCTTTTGAGCTTCACTAACCTTGTTTTGATTATCAATAAGCTTGTCCTGCGGACTGATCACTTCCGACTGATATGCACTAATATCTTCTCGCATATTTCTGTCTAACACAACTTGTCTCTCCATCCACTGTAAGGAATGCACGAGTTGTTTAGCAAGCACATCCTTATTGCCATCATATCTTCCAGTTGTACATTTTTTACTTTATAAGCTTACTAAAAGCTTACACTGTTTGATCATTTCATTGATAAACGTCTGCCCATCCTCCTCCACCACTGGAAAGTTGTACCGTTCCAAAAGTAAAGTAAAATAAATTACAAAAATTGAGATGTAAAATGTTTGTACATTGCTTGTGTTTTGAAACAAATTGCATCCTACGCCGCACTAGTCAAAGCATGATAAAATTTCAAGACAGTGCAGGGCTCTGACTTGAAAGTCAAATATTAAAAAGTTAGTTTTGGGCACATAAGTTTTCGGAGTTCTTCCGTTGTTACAGATCAAATAACACCATGCTAAAAACCCTCTGAAAACAGAGAAAAGTGTCTATCCCATTATATGATTGACATTAAATTCCTTGTTTGCGATTACAATACAATGATAGGTGCTCAGGACGTAGCATTTAATAAGAATACTTTCCTGAGAATGTCTGTCCTGCCATTCAGCAAAATAAAGTAAAGTAAGATATTGGTTCATTTTAAGCATCAAAACTCTTGCTCTGTGAGGAAGAAATGTGTAATGTAAATTATATATGGGTTACAAACTGTAATCACATCAATTATGATTTTTAAAGTATTTATAACCATTAACCAGTTGCAGTTATGGCCAATGTGGTGAAACATGTCAAAGTGTCCGGGTTTACTGAGTACTTGAGAGCAGTACAGCAGTATAAAGATTCCTCCCTGCACCTTCTTACACTGTTTACAGGCTCTGTAGACAGCGAAGGTAAAAGCTGGTGTCCTGACTGCAATGTAGGTTAGTATCTTAAATTCCATTCTTCTTTTTAAGGTTTTACTTGATCAACAAAAGTTCAGAATGAGTAAAGAAGAATCCAAATCATTGTGCATTAAATCATAAATATGTTTGCATTTAATGGATTAATCCACATCAAACAGGTTGTATTTACAGCTGATCCGGTTATAGAAGAGGCTCTAAACAGTGCTCCAGAGTGTACCTGTATCATCACAGTACAGATCGACAGAACCACCTGGAAGGACAGGAACAATAGTTTCAGGAAATCAGAGGACCTCAAACTCACCTCTGTCCCCACTCTCATTAAAGTCGGCACAGTACGTTTCCTCTGTGTTTTCATTTAATTTTGTCATGTCTGCTTTACAATAATAACAAACTCAAAATAGTGCTATACAAATTTGTTTTGGGAGCTGGAAGGCTGGTTTGCAACTGATTGCTGCTGTGAGCTACTCGTCAGAATGCGTTTCATCATTGGCCAAAACATTTGGTCAAGTTCAATTCTTCTTCAAGTTTCACAATACAATTCAATATATCACAGGACAAGCGCTTAGTGGAGAGTCAATGTGCAAAGTTGTCCCTGGTACAGATGCTGCTTGAAGACGACTAAATATTTCTCATCTTGACAAGCCGTCTATGAGGAGCAGACATTTTTAATTTGTGTTTTCTAATTTCTTAATAATTGTATCCAGTCTTATGATTGAAATATTTTGTACTTATTTTGTTTATTCACAGCTTCCTGTCATACACATGATTTGGCTGGTTCAAACGTTATCTGGTTTGATTCTTTTTAATTAAGTTATCAATAATGATATCCTTGTACATTAACTCTAATCATGACCTGCATTGTTTGTTTTTCATTTTACATTATACACTCATTATGTAGTGATACTTTTAAAATAAATTAAAATTCGTTGTAGGTATTTAAACTCTTACTTAGATCATGCATCGAAATTAGTGTCACATTTCATTGGTAGTTTTTCAGTGGAGGGCAGCCGCCAGCCATATGCATACATAGCTTACTTCACCCCCTGTTTAAGTCAGGAAAATCTGTATCCTACACTTAAACCTAACAAATTATCATGTGTAACCTTTTCCAGTTTTTACTTCTCCTAATTCCTGTCTTTAAGAATATCAACCTGTTTTCACTGTATCTGCGTTCAGAATGTCAGATGTGTTCGGGAGTGTGGATCTGTTCTCTGCTTTTAGTGGCGGAGACCCAGAGCAGGAGTCTGGCACGTACGATGAAAACACCAATGGGTAAATACTATTTTTGTACATTGTACATGAAGTACATTGTACATACTATTTAAGTACATTGTACATACTATGTAAGTACATTGTACATGAAGATGTAATTACTCGCTCGAATATTTAGCTTCTATGTCTTTGCTAAAATATTCAGCCTTCTGATCATGGAAAATATATCACGATTTTCATCAATTGGTTATTCAATGACAGTATGTAATAATCAATGTAGTCGATCCCTTAATTTTTGAATGCACAGACATTTTACGATACTCTTTTCTTCAGTATGGACACGGAGGAATTAGTAAATGCCAAAGAAATGGCAGATCTGCGAGCAGAAAATCTGCGTCTAAAATCCCGGATCAGGCTACACGAGCGGTTCGGTCACCTCTTCCCCTCTCAAACACCCCTAGCAGAAGTAGACTACTTCAAATCTCCTCTCTCCACAGAATGCCAGTCCAGAATAGAATCAGAACTTTACACCATTCTCTCTGAAAACAGAGACACAACCGAGGAAAACGGTCCTGAAAATCAGTACGACTCGTACGGTCACGTGTTATATTTACCGTACTATATCATAGACTCAGTAGGTAAGTTCTGGGATAAAACCCCCGTACAGTACGGAGACAACACTCCCCTCTTTACTTCCGTGTTCAGTGTGGCTCTGGATGATGGCGAGGATAAGCTGGACATGTTCGGAGCTAAACTTCCTAAACAGAACATGTGAGTGGTTACCTGATATCACACGTATATCACACGTATCAGTGTTAGAAGTTGTAATATCGTTGTTTAGATATAAGTAGTGCATTGTACAGTCGTTTGTTTGTATATTATAGCAATCTACTGATTTCCATGAATGACATTTTATGTAATATTCTACTTTCTATTTGACTTGATAAACTTCTAATTCAGGGCGAACGGTCCAACTTGTTTCAACTGTGACGGACCACACAGACTGTCAGACTGTAAACTACCCCACGATAAGAAGAAGATTCAGGAGGGTCTGAAACAGTTTAAAGAGTCGCGTGGGGGTCCAAATCATAACGACAGATACCATGTCAGAGTTGTTAAGGAGATTGAAGCAAGGTTAGTTAGATAGACGTGATTATTTGGCTGCATTTCTCTTATAAGTCTGTCCCATTTTCTGTTTTTGAAGATTAACCAATTAGTCAGTCAATTATAGATGGCATATGACACGATTGAGGTGCTGGAAGTTTGATTTCGGTCGGAGGAAGCTCACTGCAGAAAGCTTAACAAAACGAAAATTCATATTTTAAAATTTCTATCCCATTTTCAAATATGATAATTTCTGAACACAGATTTGACAGATTGGATGAAATTTTTGCCCAGAGACCAATAAGTTAGTTAATTGTGATGTTATGAAACCAAATTGAGGTACCATGGAAGTCAGAATTCCGAAGAAAATAGAAAAATCACATTGTCATTCTCTGTAGGCATAACTAAATCATACAGTTCTCTGTTTTAACATGCATCTGTAATAAAAACTGTATTTGAAGAATATTATTTGTTAAGAACTGGTTACTAGAGACTTCAGTAAGAACGAAAAAATCCAGCCAACATCTACTTCCAAAGAATCGTTACTATTCTTTGAACTTGTCCCGGTTTCAGGTTCAAAGAGTTCCAGCCAGGTAAAGTATCGGACAGTTTGCGACTAGCACTGGGGTTAGAAAACCACGAGTTAGCTCCCCACATTTACCGAATGAGAAACTTTGGTTACCCACCCGGCTATTCTCTAGATCCCCCGCTATCTACCTCAGAGGGAATGCAGTTCTACGCAAAACCTACTACTAGTATAAGTAAGTCATGCTTTAATCACGGGAAGGCCCTTTTTTAAGCATCAGTAAATTGCAATGTTATATAAACAACAGACTAAACAATGCACTACATCACCTCCCGTACAATCTGCAGCACAAGAAGATGGTGAAATAGCAGAAGCTCCCCTCCCTGCTGTTGTTGAGTACCCCGGCTACACCACAGCCCCCGCCTCTGATGTAATAGACAAACACCAGCCCCGGAACCCTGTGTACAGTAACGCTACCCCCACCCTGAGTGACAAGCGCAAGCCACGTGCAGACCAGACTAACAAGCGGAGGAAGATGGACCACACGTTAGGAGGCAAGGATGAGGATGATATGGAGGTGGACGATGATAAAGGTTAGGGAAATGTTATACTTCGTGTTCAGAATGTAGGTTTAGATTCAGTAATTCTAGGGGGTGTTTTACTGACCATAGCATTCTATTGACTTGATACAGGAGAATAACATCTGTGATACCACTAATACTAATAGCGTAGATAACAGTGATTATTTCAGAAACTAAACCAGCGCACGACAGACAGATAATCCAGCAACCTCCACCACCTCCACCAATGCCTGAAGAACCAGCCCCCTCCGCTCCCTCTCCTCCTCCTCTTCCTCCTGGCTTGGAGGAGCTAGCTGCTGTTACCCCTGCTAAATCCAAACTCTCTCAACCTGCTGCTACTTCCACTCCTGTTCCTGAAAAAGAGAAACTCTCAACGGAGGAAATGGAGGAAGAAGGAGAAATTGAAAGTGAAACCAGAACAGAAACCGAAAGTTCAGATATAGTGGGTGATGATAAAAGTGCTGCTGGTGAGCCGCTAAATAGGTCAATAGTGAGTGAAACCAATAAGATCGGTATAAAGTTCGATCAGATTGATGATTTCGGCCCTCTGGACGAGCGAGCAGGTAACTTCACAAAACTGCAGTGTATTCTGCGCAGTAGAAAGAAAAGTGTGGGAAGTACCCCCAGCAAACCTCCCCCTAATACTAGGAAGAAACGGAACAGTAAATGAGCTTCTATTGAAGTTAGAAAATGTCACGCATATTTAAGCAGGTGCGGTGCGCGGTTTTTAAGTTATGTTTAACGATTTTAATGATATTTTTGTAATGCGTTATTTACAATTTGGTTTACTTTGTTACCTTAGTTTAAAAGATCCCCTTAATATTTAACTGGATAAATACAGACTAAAGGTTAATTTTACGAGCTCAATTATTTTACCTTTGTATAGCTTATAAGCAGTTTCACAGTCTAAATTTCTTGTGTTTTAATAATCAACATGACTCATTGCAAGTACCGGTTATATACAATTTTTACATTTCCCCCCTTGCAGTCTTCTTCACGTTTCAACCATTGTAATGACACAGTGATTCGTAAGTAATTTCAACAAAGTATTTTTATCAGTTAATCTCAAAATCAAGTCAGGTGTTAGATAATAAATTAAACTTTCTGTAGAATGGTTGCAACAGATGCCGTCAAGGTCAAAACACCCAAAAAGAAGAGTTCAGTTAAGAAAAAAGATAAGCTGAAAGGAACTGAAAGTGCAAAGAAAACAAAAGCTAAAACAGAAAAGTCTGTAACCTTTGAAGAAGGCACGACACCGTAAGTAAACTTAGGAGAGATTTGTCACACTGATCTTAGTAAAGGGTTAAGTAAAAGTTTGACAGTTATTTCATTTTAAGTTTTGGTAAAACATGCTTACTGGTATTCTGGTAAATCCAACGGAATTTTCTTTCAGAACGTCTGTGGTTTCGTTGATTGAGAGTATAAGACGGGAGACAGATGCTAAGGTATTTATTGTTATTCATGAAATGGTATTTTTATAAAACAACGTGGACATCTAAAAGATGTGAGATAAACTTATTGAACAAGTTATTAACTAATTTAACTCCAAAAGTTATTTTGTTTGCTTTAAATGACCTATCGTTTTGCTTATTTCCTGTCTCTATTCAGGCCCAAAAAGAAATAGCAGAGTTACCTAATTCTGAGAATGTTGCAGACTTAGAAACCAGCGATCAAGAAGAAATCGAGGTAATTTGTGTTACATTAAAATCAGAGTCTATGACCAATGAACTGAAACGGTCTACTGGAAATATATTTGTAACGCGCGAATAAATTATGTGTGTATCGTTCAAGTTGTCTTTGCTCGAAAAGTACGATTTTGCGCGTCTTAAGTTGGTTTACTGCCGCCTGTCTAAGTTAGCTTGGCATCCAGGAACTCGTTGATCACAACATATCAATAATATTCGCTTTTTACATTTTATAATGCCAAATATTACTGTTTTGAATTAAATTTAGTGACCTGTTTGAAATTTTGCGCATTGATACGTTGCAAAAGTAACAAACCCGCCACAGGAGGAGATTACCGACACAGATAAGCATAGCAGCCTGTTGAAGAATTTTGGAGTCGAGGAGAGGAAGAAAAAAATAAAAGAAAAGACTCTGCCTGTTGAACCAAAGGAGAAGGAGCTGGATGGTATGTATGAGCCTCTGTTGACATCAAACTGTTCAGAAATATGCCATTAATATGAGATAACCAGGAGTAACGTTCACGTAAAGGAGTTAATTTGTAACACTATCCACCTTATAACAGGTAAAGTAACGATAAGTGACCTGATCAGCAGCGCAAGTAAAACGGAAGGATTAAAAGCCGTTCAGCAGTTGTTGGTAAGCTCAAAATCAAAATGTTTATTTTTATTAGGAGATCAGAGTCGCTGCAGAGATCTGAACTCTTGAATAAATCGTCCCGAAGTTCGATCGATAGTTTGATACATCCGATTATGTTTACATATTTTTATTTCAGGATTCGGGTAACGATGCTAAAACATTGGAGGAGCCCTTACCAAGGTTCCAACAAGATCAGGTCAGTTTTTACATCGTGGTTTAATAATAAGATATTATTTAATTGGTCATCACGATTTAGCTGTTAAACTACAGCACAGGGTGGGCCAAAAGTCGTGCATTCCGAGAAATCACCTTTTTAGTTATAGTTGTTAATGATTCATTGCTGTTTGAAAAATATTGTGCAAAACATCGCATAATATTTCTATTCGTAAGCTAAACAATTGTTCAGGCTGAGCGTGAAGTAAACTACGACAAAAGCAAGAAAGAAGTTAGCAAATGGTTACCGCTGGTAAAGAGGAACCGAGAATCAACTCACATGAGTTACCCGCTCTATCACACCCAGAACACAAAAGGGAAAGAGGACTTGTCCTCCTTCGCTAATAAGAAGAAGGTAGGGAATCTTGATCTCTCCAGTTTTGGGATCGTTTCACGGTATAACGAGATAATTTGAGAAATAGTTAGAATGTCACGTGATCTTCATTACCGCTTCCCAGAAACCGTCCGGGAAGCTGGAGGAGGAGATCTACGAAGCACTTGCAGCTGATGCCCACGTGGTGGAACGCCCCGACCACTTTCTCACTGAGGCTGAGGAGAAATCCTTGGAGGAGCTTAACGCTGAGGAGGTTAGTTCAGAGCTTCCGTTATTGCCTCTATAGATATGTACAATGTACAATGTACAGTGTACAGTGTACAATGTACAATGTACATTCTAGTGGTCAATAAATGCATGTTAATTTCAGGTAGTCGTGGTCTGGCAGATTCGATTAGATTCAACAAGTTCAATGCTAATTTCCTTTTTAAACTAACATGTTTTCTCACTTTCAGGCTGAAGTGAGAAGAGAGGAGCTCAGTAAAATGAGGGCTCTGCTTTCATATCAGGAGGAAAAGTTCAGACGCAAGAATAAAATCAAGAGCAAAAAGTAGGTTTTGATTAGGTCCTTTGAACAGATTTTGCAGGTCGCTGATATATACCCAAAATATTTGAAGTATTGGGTATAGAGTTACCTTATAATACTACTCATTTTAACACTTTGGCCTGTAGTTGCACTGTTGCTAATTGGTATTTAACTAACTTGGGTCTGATTTTGGTTACCTGTTCTGATCGTTGGCTTAGTGAAAGTGACTATGATATTATCGTAAAACACGGGCGATCATATATTGCTTCGAAAGAGGTAATATATGGTATATTTTAACTTATTAGTTTTTGTCCCCCTCCCCCATCTAGTACTTGATAGTTGTTTGAGGTTCAAGCATTAAAACAAGAATTGAGAAGAAAAGAACGCATTTGACATAAATACATATAATATTTAGAATTAAGTAACACCTACACAGGAAAAACATTTTTCTTCTAAGTAAGTATGGAGCTAGAGGTTCTAATGTTTGTTGCTCCACAATATGATCTCTCACATTTAAATCTAGCCCTCTCACAGTAACACCGGTACTGTGCAGGTTCTGTGATACAGTTTCACAGGTGGTGAACACAGGTTAACTGTGTTATGCTTTCCTCGTGTCCTCCTTCACTTTCTCCTGACCAGTGCTGTTAGACTTGTTCTTGCTGTTGTCCTTGCTGTTCATGTTGTTCTTTCTTATCTTGTTGCTTTCTATTCTCTCCTTCTTCCTTTGTTTTTGTTCCTCTGGTGTTAAACCCTCATAATAAGTATGATCCTCTCCAGGATTACTGGCGTGAGTCTTTACAAGGGCTATTAAAGCTAACAGTACCAAAATACAGAGAGTAACTCGCATGGCTGAAAAGTATTTGATAACAGTAGAAGGGAAATAAATGGAGTTCCCAATTGATTGCCCTGATACCCCCCGCCCCCCCCCCCCCCCAACAACATGAAATAACGTGCGAGACTCAGTGGGTGGATTCACAAAATCACATGGTTTTCTCATCATCATATCTATTGTTTGTTGCAATTCTCGTCAACAAGTTACTGTTGCGGGCTGCCGGCTGCCCTTTGTTTTAGAGTTGAAGGTGACCATTACACTTATTTGTTTAATTACCTCATAGAAGAACTAAAGAGTATTGAGGTGGTCACTGGTCACTGGATGGGGAGAACAAATCATGGCAATTATAGCATTACTTTAACTGTCTAGTTCCACGAATTTACTGTTTACCTAGACAGAGTTTACTGTAAACAATTGCTAGAGTATACTGTAGACAATTGTCAATAATCTAATTAATAAAATCCTAGGTATCGCCGTGTTTTGAAGAAGGAGAGGCAAAAAAAGGAAGAAAAGGAGCTTTCTGACGCTCTAAAAGCTAATCCTGGTGTTGCAGGTAAACAACACGTTAGCAGTGATATCTTTAATGAGAACTAATTTAACAACATCACCCCCGCGGGCGGTGGGCGGGGGGGGGGGGGGGGGGGGCGGGGCCGCAAACATATTAGGTATTTAAATAATACTGTAACACGTTAGTAACACTAACTGATATCTGAAGAATGTAACACGTTAGTGACACTAACTGATATTTGAAGAATGTAACACGTTAGTAACACTAATATCTGAAGAATGTAATGACTCTCAGGAGACGAGGCGGACAAGGCAGACTATCTGAGAGCGTTGGAGCGAATCAGTCAGAAACACAAAGTTGGCGGGAGGTGGAACAAGAACCTGCTTCACAAACAGATCAGAGATCCGGCTGTAAGAGTCACTTATTTCACCCATTTTTGGGGACTGGCAAAGTATTCAATACGTCGACGAATATTTATGTTGCATTAATTTCGACATGTTTTTGAAAAAATGTTTTTTATCAATCCTTCTTTTGTAGTTGAAAGAAGCGATGAAAGAACAGCGACAGCACCGACAACAGCTGATGGAGAAGCAGGTTATATCTGATGACGAGGACGAGGAGATTGGAAGAGCGGCTGAAGATGGAAATCAGGAGCCGGTTATGGAGCCGGAGGAAGAAAAGGAGCCGGAGGAGGAGTTTGAGGTTCAGTCTTATGTGGCACTAAATTGTGAATAATTTCATTTAAGCCATTTAAATAAGGATACTAAACAAGTATACAGAATTGCCCAATTTATTTATAATACCATACTTGCAGGTTGACGCTAGTAACCCCTGGTTGGTGGTGGGAGGTGCTCTATCAGGTCAAACAGAACTTCCTAGAGTACCAGCTGAAGAAACAGCTAGTATCACACTAGAGGGTGAACGTGAGGCATCAGAAGTGGGGGAAGAGAAGAGTTTAGAAGAAACAACAGAAGAAAACGAAGAAGAGAGTGGTTCAGAAGACGGGGAAGACGTAAGCAGTGACGAAGAAGAAGAAGAAGAAGGAGATGGTAAGAGCCGCCCCAGTAAGGAGTCCACTAAAGAGAAAGAGGTCCCTAGTAAAGGGGCAGTGATAGTAAAAATTGTTCCAAGTCTGGACCAGGAGATGCTGGTTGATATGGCGTTTGCTAATGATGATGTGGTGGCGCAGTTCAAAGAGGAGAAAGAGAAGACGGTGGATCAGGAAACAGAAAAGGTAAGCCCCCGCCCCCCCCCCCCCCCCCCCCCCGGTAAGGCTGACTACTTTTTACTGAGATTAAACAGATATTAAGTTAAATAAGTTAAACCATCTCCAACCGGAAATCTAAGATATCGATATACACAGTGCCATCGCATCTACGTACAATACGTTCGAGTCTTAAACAATCTCACATTACCATGGTTACCATGGTTATGAGACTCATGGTTGTGTCTGTTTCAGGACCTTGACATAACCCTGCCTGGTTGGGGTAGTTGGGGTGGTTTGGGTACCAAAGACAAGCCCAAGAAGAAGATCATCAAGGCAGCAGCTCCCTCGGCTCCCCGTAAAGACGCGGGCCTTGATCACGTGATCATTAATACCAAGAAAAACAGAAAACTTCAACCTCATTTGGTAATTTTTTGTTACATATATTATATACCTATATATATACCTATATGTATTGTATGGTTTCTGCTTCTATTTAGTTTAGTGTAGTTTACAATAAAAGATGTTTTGATTTTTCCTATAGAACGTCCCCCCCCCTCCAACGTTCTAATGTCTGATATTGCAGGTGAAGCACCTACCACATCCCTACAAGAGTAGAAGTGTATTTGAGCGGGAAATGAGACAGCCTATAGGACCTCAATGGAACTCTATTCGCTCCTTCAGAAATATGATCAAACCCTTAGAATCAACAGTGGATGGTATGGTTATAGAACCTATGACTGCTCCAAAGGGATTTGATAAAGTGATGATTAGAGGGAAGAGGAAAGCTGTTGGCAGCTGAATATTTGATCGGGTTTTTTAATTAATTTATTCGATGAAGGGGTTGAAAATGTTCAACATTTTAAGTCTATTTAGTACTGTTTGTTCTAACTTTCTGACTACATTTTATTTTAATTGAGAGAGATTTAGGCTAGATACCCCTCCCCCCCCCCCCCAAATAATTGAATTTTACATGTCTGAAATATCGCTCCTAAAATCAGCCGATCGAGTTTTCACCTTTGAATACTTTGTGTTGCCGTACCCAAACACGCAAGTCTGATATCCCCTACACCTAGACAGTATGTCAGATAAGCACCTTGTTATTATCGAGATGTTCTGCGGAGGTTCCCACAAGCAACTGATCCACCACCTCCTCTCCCTGGCTCCAGACACCACCCTGCTCACCCTCTCCGACAAGAAGTGGCACTGGCGGGCCCGGTGCGGGGCTCTACAACTGCTGCCCCAACTTCAGACCATCTCCCGTCCTGTCACCACTCTCTTCATGACCTCTGTGGGGAGTTTGCCTGAAGTAGTGGGGTTGTGCCCTCAGTTACAGGATGCTAGGAAGGTCCTGTATTTTCATGAGAATCAGCTGGTATACCCCACTCAGAGTGAGAGAGAGAGAGACTATCAGTTCGGCTACACTCAGATAATGTCAGCTCTAATGGCGGACCTGATCCTGTTTAACTCCTCTTACAACCTCAACTCATTCCTGGGCACGGTGGACTCCTTCCTCAATAAGATGCCTGATTACAAACCTAAAGGTGTTGCGGAACTAATCAGGGGGAAGAGTGAAGTGTTGTATTTCCCTGTTGAGTTTCGGTTACAGGGGAGGCAGGTTAGGGACCCTAAAGTGCTGCACATAGTCTGGCCTCACCGTTGGGAACATGATAAGAACCCTGTAGATTTCTTTAATTCCTTAACTAGTCTCATTTCCTCTGGACTTGACTTTAAGGTGTCCGTACTGGGCAAAACTTATCAAGATGTCCCAGACATATTCAGAGAATTCCAGAGCTCCCACCCTGATTATATCACCCAATGGGGACCCCTAGATTCTCGTGAAGACTACCTAACCCACCTTGGAACATGTGATGTTATAGTCTCTACAGCTGACCACGAGTTTTACGGAGTAGCAATGCTAGAGGGGCTATGGGCGGGATGCTACCCTCTAGCTCCTAACAGACTATCCTACCCGGAGATATACCCACCAGAGTGTTTGTACAACACCCCGGCTCAGCTCACTAAGCAACTCCGACAGTTGTGTAGGAACCCTGGGTTAACTAGGAGGAAGTGGGAGAGGGTGATGGGTCAGGTGGATATGTCGCGTTATTCGTGGGAGGGCCTCAAAGATAGGTACTGTGAGATGTTGAGCATTGGGTGAATGTTTGTTGTGCTACTCTTTTAAATTACAGGGCGTTCAATCTTTAACTTATTTCATGATGTTTCAAGATTTATAACATGCATGCAGTTTCTTAGACTCTGTGTTTTTCTTGTTTCGACTCTCGAGTACTTATTCTAACAAAAATTTATTACATTTCGTTGCTAAATGATTAATTAACTGAGTAAGTAAGTTGTACCCCCTCTAGTGATCTAACCCTTTAACCCTCTTCAGGCATGTCAGGACACAGAGGCCAGCCCCCAGACCCACCTGATGAGGTGAAGAACATCATCTCCAAACTAGCAAACTTCGTGGCTCGCAATGGACCAGAGTTCGAGGAGATGACTAAGAAGAAGCAGCAGCACAACGACAAGTTTAGTTTCCTGTTCGGGGGTCAGTACCATGAGTTTTATCAGTGGAGACTTCATGTTGAGCGGAATGGTGGTGGCAGCGGTGGCAGCGGTGGTGGCGGTGGTGGCAGTGGTGGCAGTGGGGGAGGAAATCAGCATAATGATGGAGGACAACACCATCACCACCATCAACAGCAACAAAGTGGACCTCCTCCTCACCAGGGTGGACCCCCTCCCCACCAAAGTGGACCCCCTCCTCACCAAAGTGGACCTCCTCCCCACCAAAGTGGACCTCCTCCCCACCAAAGTGGACCTCCTCCCCACCAAAGTGGACCTCCAGGCCACCCTCCTCCGCACCAAAGTGGACCCCCTCCTCACCAAAGTGGACCTCCTCCCCACCAAAGTGGACCTCCTCCGGGTCATCCTCCTCCTCCTACTCAACAGTACAACGATCAGAACCAGATAAACTGGGAAGAGGTGCCCGATCTGAACGGGTTCGGCCAGCTCCTGACCCCAGTAATGGACACCTGCACCAAGGACAGTATCCTGCAGGCCAGGACGTGGATCCTGGGGAATGCTGACTCTTCTCAGCAGTCCTGGTATGTGGGACAGTTCCTGCTCTACAGAGCCGCTAACCCTGACGCTTCTTGTCGGCAACGTCTCCACGTGTTGTACCTGATGAACGATTGTTTACATCACGCAGCTAAGAAACATGCTACCGACATCATTAAAGCGTTACAGTGCGTTGTTGTTGCGATATTGTTTCTTGCAAAACAGGCTGACTCTGATGGAACGTATCGTCCTAAATTCGAGAAAGTTCTGAACATCTGGGAGCAAAATAACTACTTTGAAACAGCCACTCTAGAGGAGCTGCAGAAGTGCGTGAACTCAAGAGACTACTATCAGTCGAGTAGTGTGAACGTGATACAAGGAAACATCCAATACTCTCAGCAGCTCCTGCCTCATCTTCTCAACCCCCAACAACAGCAACAACAGCCGCCGCAAGGTAGACCTTACAATGATCAGTTCTTCCCTCCTCCTCCGCAGAACTACCAGCAACCTCCACCCCAGGCCAGGAGCAGGTTTGACCAGGGTCCCCCTCCCAGTTCCAGCAGGTTCGATCAAGGACCTCCTCCTGGTAGCAGGTTTGGTCCTGGACCCAGTAATCAGAACAGGATGGATCAGGGTCCCTCCAGTAGATTTGACCAAGGCCCTCTTCCTTCTCACCAGGCATCAAGGTTTGACCAGCCTCCACCAGGTTCAAGATTCGATCAGCCTCCTCCATCTGGCTCTAGATTTGATCAAGGACCTCCTGGTGGCAGTAGATTCGACCAAAGACCACCACCAGCTTTTCAAGGAAATCGACCACCTTTCGATGGCCAGCCATATCACGGAGGCCCTGGTCCAAGCTTCCCCCCTCCTGCCCAGTCTTTCTCGAGACCCTTACCGTCACGGGGACCCTATGAAGGTATGGGACCTTGTAACAACGATCCTAAATCGTACGACAACATATATGACGCTCGGGACTTCTTGAGAATTCTACAATTCCAAATCGCTCAGCACTCTGGTCCTCCTCAACAGTTCTATTACGATCTTCCAGCTGGCCTGTTACTGAATCATGTAAAACTCGAGGACTCTGAATTTAAACCTATTGATCCTGCCCACATGCGGCTTCCCAGCCCTAAACCACCGAGCAAACGCCTACTTGATGCTGTGGAGGAGTTTTACAGGCTGGAGAAAATAGAAAATGCAGAGGAGGAAGCCATCGACGAGGAGTTGTTGAGGGATTATTACAGGGAGAAGAAGAAGGAGATAAAGAAGAGAATGAACGGTAAAGAGACCAGTAACCTGGGTTGGGTGGGGTACCGGGACTCCGCGGAGACCGAGCTTCGGAGATCCCGCAGTTCCTCTTCCTCCAGTGCCAGCAGTAGCAGTACTTCCAGTGACAGTTCCACTGAAAAGAAGGCTCGGGGAAGAAAACTAGGAGGTTCTGCTGGATCATCTTCCTCCAGCTCTTCTTCTTCTACCTCCGACTCTGATAACGAAAATAGGATGATCAAGGACAAGAGATCACCCACTCCTCCTAGTTTCGGATCGTACCCAGTTAACGTGGAACAGCAGTTAGGAGATGACAACATTGGAGCCCAGATGCTGAAAAAGATGGGGTGGGAGAGCGGGAAGGGGCTCGGTGCTAAGGGTACTGGAATTGTAGAGCCTATTAAAGCGGACACTACGAATGTTAAAGACTTCAAGTTGGGTATTGGGGTATCATCGGACCGGTTTGAGGAGTTCCGGAAGCGGAAGAGTTATACATACAATCGACCCCCTCCCAGAGGGGGAGGGGGGAGTAAGAGAGATAGAGATAGGGACTGAGCGAGGGGTTATGTTTCAACTGTTTTGTATTAATAATACTTTCATTACATAAAAAGTTTTATCTTATATAATTTATTGATGAGTGTTGAAGATGAGCCCTGGTTGGTTCCTATACAATATCTGGCAGATTGCCCAGAGGTAGTTGATTTGACTGTGGGGCTGTATTTTACCTTTTATTTTAGTTTTGATGCCATCATTGAAAGAACATGTTCGTACTAATACACATACACTTGCAACACGGTAATAGAGATGACGTGACATTAAGCTTGCCAGAACTAGGATCTGTCTTAGTGCGTTTCAGATTATTTATATTGCTTCTAAATAGACTCGTAAGTAATCAATTTTATCATTTTAGTTTTACAATGACTATCGGGAGTCTTTTATTGTTTGCCATACATGATACATTGAACAATTATGTTTATCGATAATTTTCACTATCCAATATTACAAGATCAGTATAATAATGGGAATAATTGATTATACGACGTGTTTAAAATGACTTCAGGTGCATTTTATAATTTCATTGCAAACATTTTATATATTTAACTGTTTCCGTTGTTCCCTTCTCACAATCTGTACACTATTAGGTTTTCAGTTATTATGAGCTGATTTAAAAAAGAACCCTAACACTCCGCACCATGACAGAAACCTCTCATTGCTCTCACCACTGAACAGTCTATGACGTCATTGTGACGTCATCTGAATCTGTGACGTCATCTGAATCTGTGACGTCACGCACCCTCTCATGTCCTTGTACGATGAAAATTTAGTAGACAATCCCTTCTTCCAGGAGGTCCTTCGTCATGAGGACTTTCTTAACGAAATCATCGCCAATAAATTGTGAGTAGGATTCTATCATCATTCGCTCCCTAAATTATTTGATTAGAATCTTCTATCGTAGATCGCCCAAGCAACGTTATCCCGTAGATTTGGTTATCATAATATGTAGAATCTCCTTGAGCTATCTCTAATTACCTCTAATTACCTCTAATTGTCTCTAATTAAACCGTTCATCAGGACTCTGTGTGTACCATGTATAGGAAGTTTCAACAAGAAACACCAACTAACCCTGGAGGATGTAGAAACTCACACTATCTCCAGAGATGAGGTTAGAGATAGATTTTGTAGTGTAGTTAGTAGTATAGTGCGTTTGTTTAACCTTCAATTGTTGAGTTCTATTCACGCCTATTGAATATAGATTAATAATTATGAAACTGCAATGTGTCCAGTTTTCGTAGTATGAATTTCAGTAAGTCCAATACTCCCCACCTTCGGTATTCTATCCACAGTAGTATATATTATATAACTACTATCCACAGCCCCTCGTCCTCATTTAACACACCCCTCCACAGCCCCTCCACAGCCCCTCATTTAACACACCCCTCTGCAGGAGGTGGAAGGTATGTTCAGAACGTACAACAACAGAACGTTATCCACGGAAACGAAGGGCTTTAAAACCCTGGATAACTTTGACGAAGAGAAAGTCGTTAAAGTACTGTTCGAGGAGACCTTCTTTCTTGATGAGTCTAGGTACATTAATGTAAGTTTGACATTTTCAAATGAAAATTTGTCATCATATTATCAGGATTATTGACTATTGTCCATATATCAGGATTATTGTTCAGCTGCAAAGTTTAAATGGCTCTTCTTCGCCTGAGTTTACTGTTGCCTAGCAACTCTTGTCACTCATGTGAATTAGGAATTCAGCGTTTTCCGCTTCTCCTAAATATTCCTGGTCTGGTTTAACACCGTTTTTATTCTGCCAGGTGATCTGTGTTGACTCTAGGTTTGACTGTGCGTCACTAACCGGCTACACTGACATCAAGTGTGACACTCTCCAACAATGCACTCAGTTTCTATTCGACGAGAACACTCCCTGGGCACGTGCACAACTGGACGACATCCTACAGAAATGCGTGGTATCCCACAAGAGCGCTGGAATGTGTCTCAAGGAGCTGGTTACCAACACCAAGAGGTCCTTTCAGAGGTGCTTGGACATTGTGGAGAAGGACTTTCACTTCTCTAGGAAAGTCCTGACGAACCCAAACTTCCAGATGTTCCTGGAGCTGAGCGTGGAGTTTTACGTCATGACGTACCTCCATCAGACGATATTCGCAGAGTTATGCTACATATTTGGTGCGAAAGACGCGGCTGTTAACAAAACACTTCGGAATCTAAGTCAAGTAAAACCGGGCGAGATTGAGGATCTAAACTCAGTGTTCTTCACATCCCTGCCCCTGTCCCAGGCGAAGATGGCTCAGTTGAACTGTGAGCAGAGTCCGAGAGAGAAGGTGCGGTTACTGTGCGACTGTTTAACGTGTCTACCTAACGCGTCCAGCACCGGACAAGCCATGTCCATGGACGACCTGCTCCCCTTACTCAACTACCTCATCATCAAGTCTGAGGTGCCTAACTGGTGAGACTTCTCTTCAGTTTACTGTTGCCTACCAACTCTTGAGTTGTAATTTACATTTTTAATTCTTAATTTTGTACAATAATTTTATAATTTGGCATACACCTTTTGTGGTGAGGTATTGGTATGATTATAATAGTAGTTTGTAAGATCGAAGTAGACAATTGGAATAGAAAATGGAATATAGAAAGGCTGTAGACAAGGTTGGATCAGTATATTAATAAGATGAGCGTATAATTCTAAAAGTCCCTCTCAAATAATGTCTTAAAATCCTGCATCGTTCCATATCATTATCATGGGTATGAGGACGAAAGTGTGGTATTCATCGAATCCTGCTTGCCTTGCTTATCCTTCATATATGTCTGTTGTGGAGCTGCGCACGTGCACAGATTCTGTTATACTTCATAGGTCTGGCGCGGAGCTGCGCACGTGGAGATTCTGTTATCCTTCATAGGTCTGGCGTTGCTGAGAGATCTTCAAGATCTGAGGGTACGTTTACTGTAAAGGTAATATCTCACTGTAAAGGTAATGTCTCGCAGAACTAATATCCTCTCAAGAGAAGTGGATTTATTAACGTGATAAAGTATTTACACTGTGTAACAAAGTCAGTTTCATATTCTTCAAATCGTTTTTAATATATTATTACGAAAATGTACTCATTATTCATACCTTGCATAAAGTAAAGTGGGAGTTCTGGTCCGGTTTAGGAACTGTAACATACTACTGTTTGAGATCTGATATATCTGAGTTAAAACCTGCTCTTTACAGCAGAGTGAAATACATATTATGCTGAAGATGATACGACCGGTTTATCATATAGGGCGCAGATGTTGCGCGCGCGGATGTTGCCTGCGCGGTTGTTGCACGTGTAAATATTGCCTGCGCGGTTACTTAAAAAGTATTGATTTATCCTTTAACGTTCCTGAAGGACCCAGTCTGTTATCCATACCTACCCAAGTCGGTTCAAAAGCCATGACTGTCGTTACTTACAGGCGCAAATCTTGCACATTGCAAAATTGAGGGATGCGGTGTCAATTTGCAGAAAGTTCAGGACATTCTTTTCTCTTCCCCAATGGTTTTCAAAGATATCTCTTGACTTCTGACAATTTTGCAACTTTATTTCGTAGTTCAGGACTTTTACTCCGTTGAAACTTATGTGAACTCGGTTGGAATATTTTCTATATTCGATGGTCCATATGAAGGGTGGTGTTGCTACCTGAGAGGAGAGCGGTGCAGTGGGAAACAGCTCCAATTCTTTTTCATAGCTGCAAGATAGAACCTGGTAAATTGGAACTCCAGAACGGCTGAATTTCAAGGAAACTCCTCCGGCTTCCTTATCCCGAGTCGCTTTATAGAACCTCACAGTTACAAGCTTGTCAGAGTCAAATGGGCTTTCAGTCTTTATCTGCAGAGATTTGCCGTCCACATTGACGTAATAATCTTGTCTCCTCCGTATTTCCTTCCAATCTGTGAGGTGGCATTAAACAATATGGGATACGATAGAAATATACAATTAAACTACACAATATACACCTTTTTATTATATCTCCTGCATTATACTAGGTCTTTAGGCAAATAGTTAATGGTTGAATAATTGTGCTGGACAAACTTACCACTTTCACCATGGGCTGCCCTGAGTATAGCACTGAGTAGCACAATTATCACAGCTGCATTTATCTCCAGTCTCATTTTAGAGCTAGCTTTAGGGTTGATCCTTGGCTTGTTCAACTGTGCAAAAAAGCAGGATCTGCAAGAGCAAAGATCTAAAATCAAGTAAATTTCTTTGAAATGTAGGCAGAGCGACCTGTGCCTCGGTTTTAAAGGGCTCTCAAAGTTGTGGCTCATTAATAAATCATGACTAACTCTTCATCATATTCATGGTCTTCAATTCAAGACGTCCTGTCCTTCAAGTGTATTAAGATTGAGAAGCAGCTGTCTTAGCTGTATATAAATGTGTCATCCTCGCGTAGAGGCTAGGTTGCAATCAGAATTAAATTAGAAAGGCGCATCTTGGAGTCTGCTGTATCTAATTAAGATGAGCATTGTTAGTGTTACAAGATGCAAATGAGCTTTCATTGTAATTCTCATGCTCAATAAGATGGTAGCCTCATGTCACCTCCTCGAAGATTAGAACGTGTGCCCAGGCCACACGTACAAAATACTGATCACTCACTATGATGAGAAGTTCGTACCGTACGTACTTCAAGCCGGGTACTACGGTACGTACTTCTCATCTTAGGTCACGCATCTCAAAAAACACCTCATGTACCTCGAACTACTTCTCATGTCAATAATGAATGTTATGTCAATGGTAAAAGTGTTAAAACAGAACCTCTCCCGCAGGCTAGCAAACCTGTGCTACATGCAGCACTAACAGAACCTCTCCCGCAGGCTAGCAAACCTGTGTTACATGCAGCACTAACAGAACCTCCCGCAGGCTAGCAAACCTGTGTTACATGCAGCACTAACAGAACCTCTCCCGCAGGCTAGCAAACCTGTGTTACATGCAGCACTAACAGAACCTCCCGCAGGCTAGAAAACCTGTGTTACATGCAGCACTAACAGAACCTCCCGCAGGCTAGCAAACCTGTGTTACATGCAGCATTAACAGAACCTCCCGCAGGCTAGCAAACCTGTGTTACATGCAGCACTAACAGAACCTCTCCCGCAGGCTAGCAAACCTGTGCTACATGCAGCACTAACAGAACCTCCCGCAGGCTAGCAAACCTGTGTTACATGCAGCACTAACAGAACCTCTCCCGCAGGCTAGCAAACCTGTGTTACATGCAGCACTAACAGAACCTCCCACAGGCTAGCAAACCTGTGTTACATGCAGCACTAACAGAACCTCTCCCGCAGGCTAGCAAACCTGTGTTACATGCAGCACTAACAGAACCTCCCGCAGGCTAGCAAATCTGTGTTACATGCAGCACTAACAGAACCTCTCCCGCTAGCAAACCTGTGGTACATGCAGCACTAACAGAACCTCTCCCGCAGGCTAGCAAACCTGTGTTACATGCAGCACTAACAGAACCTCCCGCAGGCTAGCAAACCTGTGTTACATGCAGCATTTCACCTTCGCGCAGTACAGTCCGGACGACAGACACGGGTTTACCTTGGTCTGTTTTGAGGCGTCTCTGGAGCATATCCGGAACGGGAGTCTGAACTATCTGATAGCCCCGGCTAACCAGGGAAGTGTGGAGGCTATCTCTCTCTATGATACCACTTTCTCCCCCATACAGGTAAAACTGGAGCTCAGAAACTGCTTCAAATGGTTTGATACCTTCATTTTTGATATTATGTGACTTTTAACTTTTGCGGTATGGTTATTATTGTAGTATTACCCTGTACCCTTTTCAGATACTGCAGAATTGTGTGTTATTGAACAGATGTGATGATCTGGCGCTCATTCTAGGTTAGCTGAACAAATATCTTTTCAACCAAGAAGTTATTCGATTACTCTATTACATATATGTGGGATATGTTCAAGATTAAAAAGTATAGTAACGATAGGAGTAAGACTCTATTGTATTAACAACATGTAGTAGCTACTATTTTGTCATCCCTATTCTCCCTAACACCTCCCCCCGCTAAGTCTAGCATCCACTCCGTAACACCTCCCCCGCTAGGTCTATCATCCACTCTGTAACACCTCCTCCCGCTAAGTCTAGCATCCACTCCGTAACACCTCCCCCTGCTAGGTCTAGCATCCACTCTGTAACACCTGCTCCCGCTAGGTCTAGCATCCACTCCGTAACACCTCCCCCCGCTAGGTCTAGCATCCACTCTGTAACACTTCCCCCCGCTAGGTCTAGCATCCACTCCGTAACACCTCCCCCTGCTAGGTCTAGCATCCACTCCCTAACACCTCCCACCGCTAGGTCTAGCATCCACTCTGTAACACCTCCCCCCGCAAGGTCTAGCATCCACTCCGTAACACCTCCCCCGCTAGTCTAGCATCCACTCTGTAACACCTCCCCCTGCTAGGTCTAGCATCCACTCCGTAACACCTCCCCGCTAGGTCTAGCATCCACTCCGTAACACCTCCCCGCTAGGTCTAGCATCCACTCTGTAACACCTCCCCCGCTAAGTCTAGCATCCACTCTGTAACACCTCCCCCCGCTAGGTCTAGCATCCACTCCGTAACACCTCCCCCCGCTAGGTCTAGCATCCACTCTGTAACACCTCCCCCCGCTAGGTCTAGCATCCACTCCGTAACACCTCCCCCCGCTAGGTCTAGCATCCACTCTGTAACACCTCCTCCCGCTAGGTCTAGCATCCACTCCGTAACACCTCCCCCGCTAGGTCTAGCATCCACTCCGTAACACCTCCCCCCGCTAGGTCTAGCATCCACTCTGTAACACCTCCTCCCGCTAAGTCTAGCATCCACTCCGTAACACCTCCCCCGCTAGCTCGCTAGGTCTAGCATCCACTCCGTAACACCTCCCCCCGCTAGGTCTAGCATCCACTCCGTAACACCTCCCCCCGCTAGGTCTAGCATCTACTCCGTAACACCTCCCCCCGCTAGGTCTAGCATCCACTCTGTAACACCTCCCCCCGCTAGGTCTAGTATCCACTCCGGTCCGAGGGACTGCAAAACCCCTCCCCACCTCCACCAACTCCAGAGTAACCATGGTAACCAGCTCTAACGACGTTAAGAGGTGCCATCCTCTCTGTTCGTGTGATGTTTGTGAGAAGAGCATTCTCAATCTGCGCTGGAAGGACATTACTGTGGGAACTCCCTTCAACTCTTCAGGTACACATTACTTACTAGTAGTAAGTCATATAATGGTTCTAGTCCCTGATAATGATATCCATGTATTGGGTTTACTCTCGGCAGTGGATCTGTGTTTTCTACTTTCAAGAGCTAGTAGACTAGCAGAGAGAAGAGGGATTCTGATCTCAATATGTAAATAACTTGACGATCCAGGGTGCTGGTTTTCAATGTTAACCGAGTTACCATCTCAAGACATAATCTTGGAGCCGCGGTTTTGTATCGTACGCAACAAGCAGCTTCTCCTATATCATCTTACAATAGAACAGTTGTTTTGTAAACTAACTAATGCTTTGGGGAATGAAACGAAGAAAAGGCACCGTTTAGCAGGCGGGCAGGTCACCTTTTGGTGCACTGCTATTAATGTTAAGTTGAAATGAAATCAGATATTCTAGGGAGGCACCCCATATTCATCTGTACCTCCAATACCCTATCTTACAGTGCTCCTCACGACCAAATCCCACTTATCACTTATGAAATGTATGGTGTTGAAGTTACTACACATTGCTTACTACACAACTTGTAACATTGGGTGCTAATAATAAAGTTTTTCTTCGCCCTCTTTACTCTTTTGTCAGGAGTGAGTATCCTGCACATAGCCGCCCAGAACAACTACACGAACATGTTGGAGCTGCTGCTGGAGCAGGGGGCTGATGTTAACATAGTGGACAGTGCCGGACGTAGCGCGCTCCATTTGGCGTGTCACCGCTCCATCTGCGCTAGTTCCGTCCTACTGCTTATAGCACACAAGGTAGGGGGCCGGGGCCGGGGGCCGGGGGTAGGGGGGGGGGGGGGAGGAAGTTCTGCTTTCATTCTGCATAATTTGTAAAACAACTTACGCTTTGGAATCTAAATCTTGATGCTGAATCTGGATACATGCTGGCTTACCTTATATCAGCTATAAAATTCAGCAGGGTTGAATTAGAAGGTTTCACTGGGATTGAATTACTAACTATTAATATTTGATCTTGCTCTGAAAATAAACTGGTCTCTCCTGCTAGTATACAATAAAGTGCCTTATAGAAGATGAGCACCTCTTGTATCTTATATAAAGATATAAAGGTTACTAACTATCTTTCTAGGCTAATGCCAACACAGGAGATAATTTGGGGAGGACGCCTCTACACGAAGTTTGTGAGCGAGGTCACACTGACATCTTGCAGAGTATGATATACCAGAAGATCAATCTCCGTGTCAATGCAGAGGCGCACAATGGTAGGTGGTGGGGGGTTGAGGGGGCGCCGTGTAAATCCTCTATTAACAAGAGAAACTTTGCGAGGTCGGTGATTCCTCATTTAGTGTGGTTTTATGTTACCCAGTGGCTGGATAGCATATAGCTCTAATAGCTCTAGTAGCTCTTATTTACAAAAGATATTGTAATATCATTGTAATTCTTATGCTCAATAAGATGGTGGCCTCATGTCACCTCCTCGAGGCTCTGATCGAGTGTCCCTCGTACAAAATGTAGCCAGCGCCGAGCAGCTGTATTAATTAATAGCATATAAATGAATAATTGAGATTGTAACAGGAGACACACCGTTGCACCTAGCTGCAAGGTACGGTTACGGAGACATTGTATCCCTCCTGCTGGATGTTGGAGCAAGTATGAGCATCAGGAATAACAAAGGAGAAACCCCTCTCTCCTCAGCTCACAGCAAATACATCTCACATATACTGCAGGTTTGTTAAACCCCTCTCTCCTCAGCTCACAGCAAATACATCTCCCATATACTGCAGGTTTGTTAAACCCCTCTCTCCTCAGCTCACAGCAAATACATCTCCCATATACTGCAGGTTTGTTAAACCCCTCTCTCCTCAGCTCACAGCAAATACATCTCCCATATACTGCAGGTTTGTTAAACCCCTCTCTCCTCAGCTCACAGCAAATACATATCCCATATACTGCAGGTTTGTTAAACCCCTCTCTCCTCAGCTCACAGCAAATACATCTCCCATATACTGCAGGTTTGTTAAAGCACCCAGTTGTAAGTAGTTTTAATAAATAATATGATATCGTAATGTATGATCTGGATAGGTTTTAATTTGAAGGTTTGGGGCATTTAACAACTAGACATTTTCCAGAAAAATATGATATAGGTTGACAATAAAACTGTATTGAAAATCATAGAACGAACAACTGTAGAAAAGTGGAAAGATAACAATCTCCCGAATCACTGATCTTTAGCAGTGCAGTTCAGATATATCTATTTTTCAAGTTGAATCTATAAAAACTGTAGGTTAATACGATATTGATAATAACTAAAAGACAAATAAATCAATCTTAGTATTTGTCAGCTACACGCAGAAACTGTCCTCTAGACTGATGTGAATGAATCTTTAGTTCAACTCTCTATTGGTGTTGTAACAGTAGCTAGTAGTGTTGCTGTGTTGTAACAGTAGCTAGTAGTGTTGCTGTGTTGTAACAGTAGCTAGTAGTGTTGCTGTGTTGTAACAGTAGCAGTAGTGACAAGTGTTGCTGTGTTGTTCCGGTAGCTAGTAAAGTTGCTGTGTTGTAACAGTAGCAGTAGTGACAAGTGTTGCTGTGTTGTTCCGGTAGCTAGTAAAGTTGCTGTGTTGTTCCGGTAGCTAGTAAAGTCTCCCCAAGCTTGGTGCTGGAATTGCAGTGTTAACCTGTATTGTACTTCTCATTGCTGAGGTCACTCTTATACGTAATAAAGCCTGTGATCTACTGCATGAAGAGGACTGACATCGAAGTGGTTGGTCTGATTTCTTCCAGAAGAGAAGTTTTCTCTTTGTATATCCTCGAAAGTTTGGGTTCACCGCTACGTAGATGAACGGGTTCGTCCAAGATGAAAGAAACGCAGCCGTCCAGGCAAAGTCCCTTGGTGGTCCATGAATTCCTAAACCAAGAACAACACATAATGGCATAAAGGAAACCAAAAAGAAGGCAGTTACAAAGATTACAATAAGGATATTAATTTTGTTTATTCGTGCGTTTGCTTTCTTCGCAGCGTATCCAACAAGAACTACATTGCTCAAGATTAAAGTAACACTTGGAATTGCTACAATGAATATCAATAATACTCTGCCTATTATTTTAATGACCATTGTAGTTGATAAGTCGTAAGGGGTCTGTTCACAAAATGATCGACTCGGCTGAAACATTCCTTCGGTGAATCCCATTGCTATTTCAATACCGATCCAAATTGTTGGTATTAAACTGAAGGAAACTGCCATTGAAGTAATGAGTACCATTTTTCTTTTGGAAGGCACTAAGTTTCGTAATGGAAATATACATTTGGAGAGTTTGTTGATGGTAAGAGCGTTGATGAGAAATATGTTGGCGTTCAAGAAAGTGAACCGGCAAGCTGCACTCACAGCACACAGTGCATCTCCAAAAATCCAAACGTTCCCTCCATACTGTATTATCAACATGGGCAGCAAGACTAAAATGCAGTTGAAAGTGTCGACGAAGGCGAGGTTTTTGATGATCCATTGAGACATCTTGTCCAGTTTTATAGCATTTTGAGTTATAGTTCCGTGTAAGACAAAGATATTCCCCACCACTCCTAGTATGAAACAAATGTGACACCAAACTTGTTGGAGAATGAACACAGTCATCGGAGGAATTAACTGTTAAACCGTGATTATTTGAGATTAACTAAATTATATTAGTTTATAACACAGACTTCCGGATTTACTTTTTCATGTAAGTGCTCACACTTCATGTTTAGCACGGTGAAATGAAATCTACAAAATATTAACCGGACTGTTTCACAAAGGCAGAGGGGAAATGTTGGAAATGGGCGGTCGGATAACGACTATAATTTAGCATCAACTCCAACGTGACCTGTCTACTATATCATACAATAGAATGTTTGCGGAGGAATGCAGTGAGATGATCTATATTCTATAGGTTATGAAAATGTGGTTTTATTGTTCTTCAAATCATGCATCATCGTCTCGACTACCTGAGCTATTGTTTAATGAAAATTATGCGGATTGCATTGTGAAATGAATAACCCCACAATAAGAGAGGCAATCATGAAACCTACATGGAACCGCAGTTTAACCTTATTCTGATTGACAATGTGGCAGTGGAATCTTTTGTATCTTTTATTACAAACTAGACATAAGAAAGGGGAGTGGTCAGGCACTTAGACAGTAAATCAAGTTAGTCTAATCTGTAGAAATTGGAAAATAGTGTCTCTTTATATTATGAATCAAGTTAGTCTAATCTGTAGAAATTGGAAAATAGTGTCTCTTTATATTATGAATCACTAAATGTTTTAACACTCCTACCGATTCCGAGTCAGCTGCTCTATTTCCTTTGCCAAACCTAAATCAACTGAACAGCAAGTACAATACTGGCTCTTTGGTTACAGACTAACTTTTGCCAAATGTTGTATTGAACTTTTGAAAAGGAAGCGCAATGTCAATAAAAACAAAACTCAAAAAAAGGTTGTTTCACAACTTTTGATCGCAGAGAAAAACGTAAATGCGGTCGTCGTCGTGCCCCAGTAGGGTTAGAGTTAGAGTCTCACACTACTGATCACTTAGTTCTTAATTTCAGTATGACATTGCAGGTTGCACGTTGAATCATGACTACTATAGTATAGCAAAGTACTGTGTTTACAGTGCAATACAATCCAGATGTACTAAAGGGCACCACTTCTTCAAATAAAATTTTACCCACATAATAATCAGAATAGAGTATGGGTTCCAAGGGCTAAAATAGGGTTAATATAATGGTTAATATAATAGTTAATATTGTAATGGTTAATATAAGGATTAGTATGAGGGTTAATATAAGGTTCCCAAGAATCTGGGGCAGGACGCCATAAACCGCAAAAACACAATCAGAACATTAAACATTATTTAATTTCATATCCGAGACATTACCAGTTACCCCGCAGAATGAAACATCATGATGTGATCTTCTTATTGCAAACTGAGCTAGAGGTAGAATTGCTCTGTTCGATTTTCTCCAGAAAAGAAAAATACTTTTTGTATATTCTCTGAAGTGTTGATTCACAATTACGTAAATGAACGGATTCGTCCAGGATGAAAGAAACGCAGCCGCCCAGGCAAAGTCCCTTGGTGGTCCATGGATTCTGAGGCCAAGGACAATGAATATTGGTACAAAGGATACTAAAAAGCAAGCAGTTACCAAGATTACGATCAGGATATTCATTTTGTTTATTCGTGTGTTTGTTTTCCTTATAGCATACCCAATAAGAACTGCATTACTCACGATTAAAGCAAGACAAGGAATTGCTACAATAAATATCAACACTGCTCTATCTATCATTTTTATGACCAATTTAGTAGACAAGTCGAAAGGGGTCTGTTCGCAAGATGATCTACTCGGCTGAAACTTTGCTGAAGTGAATCCCATTGCTATTTCAATACCGATCCAAATTGCTGGTATTAAACCGAAGGAAACTGCCATTGAAGTAATGAGTACCATTTGTCTTTTGGAAGGCACTAGGTTTCGTAATGGAAATAAACATCTATAGAGTTTGTTGATGGAAAGAGCGTTGATGAGAAATATGTTGGCATTCAAGAAAGTGAACCGGCAAGCTGCACTCACAGCACACAGTGCATCTCCAAAAATCCAAACGTCCCTCCATACTGTATTATCAACATGGGCAGCAAGACTAAAATGCAGTTGAAAGTGTCGACGAAGGCGAGGTTTTTGATGATCCATTGAGACATCTTGTCCAGTTTTATAGCATTTTGAGTTATAGTTCCGTGTAAGACAAAGATATTCCCCACCACTCCTAGTATAAAACAAATGTGGCACCAAACTTGTTGGAGAATGAACACAGTCATGGTAGGAGACAGTGTACGTTCGCTGGAGACAATCTAAATTATCCTGTTACTATGACAATCTGAATTATTTCAGTTTATTATAACACAGAGTTATCATGTTACTATGACAACGCAGAGTTTCAGGACTTCCCACAAAAACATTGTAACTGAATTTAAGAAGATGTTTTGTTAAATATTTGCAACTAACAGCATCGTAACATGATAATACTATTATATACGACACAATTACTGTCTAACTTAAAATAGCTTGGTAGTAGAATAACGACACAAATATTTCATGGGTATTGGGTGATAATAATACTTGCGTCAACCTGCAAGGATGCTCCTTCATAATAATAATCATTTGAAAAAACAGCTACTTAGCTGAGAAAACATACTTCACAATTCACATCTGACGCATCTTATAAAGCTATAAACTATCGCCTACCAATCAAATCGGTTTAATTAATGCATTTAAATGTGTAAATTTAAAAGTCTGTTAGGAGAACAATATAATAATACTGTATTTGGTCAGTGCAAGTTGCAGATTTCTCACCCGATATCACAGTTAGATGTTTATAGTGCTTCTATAGACCAGGGTGCATGCAGTGAAAGTGAAAGTGAAAGTAAGTAATTTACTGCAATTTCGAAATTAAATCTACCTTTCCAAACTTCCTCCCCCTAGGCTGGTTTCGTTAAATGCGAAATTCATTAATTCGTAACTGAAGCCTCATTCAATACGTTTTTTTTAATCGAATACTTTTAAAATTTTACACATTCTGTCATAGAAGAACAAAAAAATAAATTTGATAAATTTGAGATTGGGGAGGCGGATTATCGTTGTGAAGTACTGCACTACTCACGAAGTACTGTACACGATGTTTTCAACCCACGAGTCAGAGAGC